AAGCCGTCGGAGTTCTTCCCGAACTGTCTTCTGGCGACGGCGTATCTCAATGCAATGGTCACGAAACGGGCCCCACTTCTGAAGGAATCATAAACTATGGAGACTCTCCCCGGAAAAAGTGCAGAGTATGCCAATTGGGACAATGGAGAATTATGCACCTTACCGTTTCTCTCAACTTTGTCCCACTTAGCCAACATATAGGCACGAGGAATGCGAACGCTGCTAAACTGAATCCATCCGATGTCAGCACCGTCTACGCCCATCTTGGCGCCGACGTCACCCACAGAGACACCCGGCATCAAATCGTGGTTGGAATCTCTCAAGGGCACCACAAAGGTCTTGATACCGTGGTCCACGCCCTCCACGATCAAACGGGCATAAACGCAACAGTGGGTAGAGGTGTGAGCTGCCCCAGCCGTCCAGAACTTGGTAGCACCCACATGGGGGGTGTTGATGACAAACTCATCGGTACCGACATCAAAAGTGGCGGTGGTTTCCAAGCCAGCAATGTTGGAACCATGGGCAAGCTCGGTTATGGCAAAACACCCGTAGATCCCCCTCATCTTCGAGGCGCCCTTGGTGGTGATCCAATACCGAAACTGTTCTTCCGTACCGTTCCCACGAATGCAGTTGTAGAACAACCCCATGTGGATATGAAGCATAGCAGCAGTCTGCGGATCAAAGGTGCAAATCAAATGAAAACGCTTAGAGAACACTTCAGGGGTGTCATTTTCCAAGTACTGGGCCATGCGGGCAATCTTCTTAGCTGTGAGCTCACGCTTTTGATCCTTGGAAAGGTCGTAAACGGCAGTGGACGTGGCGATGATAGGGTCACGTTCGAATTGGAGGTAAATGCTCTTGACCAAGGCAGCCTGTTCACTACCACCCTCCAAGAAATTGTTCATAACATCGAGATCAAAGTTGGTTTGGGCTCTTTCTCTAGCGATAGAGGCCGCTGGGTCTGGACCTTTTGCGTAGGTGACAGACATGGTATTGTGTATTAGTATGTGAGGAAGTGATATTCACCGAGTGTACCGTGAAAGAAAGGATAGGGGATGGTATATATACGGTGCGATGTGAAACGTCTACGGCTACCATAGACGTGTGTTTCTTCCTAAAACTGCAGGAATTGTTGCTATGGCGGAACGATGGCACCCACCGTCTAATTATCCGTGATAGCAACTATGTAGTTCAGTATATGTAAAGGGATGTAAGCCGAAAAACTTTGGTTTAGTCGAGTTTGTTTTGTATCATGGCTAAGTTTAGCCATTTTATAGCGCCACGGTTTGCAGATACTTTAATCCATAGTATCTGTAAACCTGCCCACCGAACTACCGCTTTCCTTTGTGTGACTGCTAGTTATAATTCGAGCTATAGTATTGGTTCCCATCCCTTGTGTCGTCCTACTTAACAAGATATGGTGGAGTACACCGTCTCGTCCATATATATGCATCCTGCATGACCCCTGGCTGTTTTGTTGGGCCCACTCGTGAACCTTAAAGGGTTTTACGTAATCCTTTGTATTAGACTCTTTAGTGCCAGGGTTATGGTTAAGGAAATTTTTTCACCAAGGAGTTCCGTCTCGAGTAATATATCATAGTGGGTCTCTACCCGTTTCTGCGTAATCAATAGCAAACCCCCCATGATTCGAACAAGCCTTTTCGGGATCCATTCAAAGTAGCGAAGTAAAATCACGTAATCTAATATTTCACGGGGTATGTTCTAGGGTCTGTATTGAAATCCAGTCCTGAGCCTCTTCCGGTTTCCCAAGACTTTATATCTAGACCTCGGGAACACCCCAGTCTAAAATGGTAACATTCCCGCCTGCAGGTACTTTACTTGATTTTGAGCCTTAAATTTCATGGTTTATTCAAGAAATCACAGTTGCAGGTCCATACTTGGTGTAGCCATTTTTTTGGTCGTGCGCGGTCATTCAATCGGTCAAGACACGCATAAAAAACAAAAAAATTATCCAGGCCATCGCGACTGTTATCTAAGCGCTTCCTGCCTGATCTCGATCTATAGATAAGTTCGAGGTCTGAAGGTTCTCCATCCAAAATGGCCGTTAAAAAGAAGACAAACTCTCTTAGAGGTAAAGCCGCTACCCGTGCCGTCAGCTCTGCTGCCAAAGCCCAGAATGCCGAGGCAACCGGCATCACCGAACTAAAAGACTTGAACCCGTTCTTGCACCAACTCAAACAGACCAAGAGAGACAAGATGTTGACCAAAGCCACTGAGTTCATCGGGAAGTTAAAGTCTGGTAACACCTCTGGGCAGATCTCCAAGTCCTCCTTGAGAAGACAGAAACGTAAGGTCAAGGAACAGTTGAAGCCAAAGATGGAGGACTTGTTAACTTCCTTGCCCCTGAATTTGCTCGAGACCGCCGAAACCACCAGAATCGTCGCCGCCCCAACCGCCCAGTTCGTTAACAAGCTGGTTAAGAACAAGCCTAGCATAATGAAAAAGAAGGGCTCTTTGAAGATTATCCAGGAAGAAACAATCAAGTTCCATAGTGTGTTGAGTGACAAGTCTTTTAGAGCCAATCCTATGGATGCCATGAGACAATCCTTGCTCGCCCAGCAGCAGCAGAAATAAAGGATGGGGTATATTTTGTGGAGGAGGTTTGTACTTTAAGGTACATGTGTATATTAGAGTTATATGAGATTGCTTTGCTCGACTTGTAAAGGGCTATAAATGCCAAAGGCAGCCTATGAGGTCACAGATTTGTGCCCTTTGGAGTTATCATAGGCTTTTATCACCACTTTTCTGGTTTAGCCGTGTGAAAGCCATATTTCTGGTCAAAAGTAGCGCTTGCTGAGCTTCCAATTCCGCCAGGGCGTTGCCCTGGTGTTCGTGGCGAACCAAATCGACGCTTACTACTCCATCTTGGCGAAACTCCACCTTCACCGCTTTGCCAGACCGCTGTTGGAGCCCTGACACCTGCTGGAGAAACAGGCTGAAACACATAGGCTTCGTAATGCGATCGTCTAAGAACTCTATGTTGTGGACTGGCGTCACTAGCTTGGCCAACTTGGCCTTCAAGACTTCGAGCCTCAAGCAAAAGAATAGTTTCTGAATCAACGGCAAGGGAACCACCAAAAAGTCCACCGCATTGACCCTATTCGACCCGACAGCTTCCTCTCCGTAGCAACCACCCCGGTTCACTGTTGAGTCACGGAACGCTTCGCGGAGCAAATCGTACCCCGACGCGTATTCATGACACCTGATCGCCAACTTGCTCACATCCATGCGCAAAAAACTCATAAAAATCTTGTAGTACAACCCCAAAAGCGTGTCTCTGATACTGGGGGCCTCCTGAACCGGAGGACCCTTCCTTAAGTCGAAATCGCGCCGAGAGGCTTCAACGGTCTCTCCCCCTTCTGCGTCAACCTCCATTTGTAGAGGATCAGCTGCACTGCTGTGTTTCTCGAGCACTCTCAATAAGGTTCCAGAAAGAGTAAAAAACCGGTCGTCCTGACCGTAGTTGCTCTCCTTTGCGGTAATGCTATCGTACCTGAGTTCCTTCCACAAGGAAAACAGTTTGGATTTTAATATGGCTTGAAACTTGGTGTCGCGGTCCACCAATACCTGGATGTCGCGAAGAGATGACACAGACAAGAGTTTGGTCAAAATATAATACAAGCGGACCCGCACGGTGGTATCTGAATCGTTTGCCCCAGGCCCCTCCTCCTTGAAGGGCGGAATGTTTACCAAAACTTGGAAACACTCACCAGCTGCCTTCAACGCCGATGCATCGCGGTTAACGATGTAGCTCTGTAAATACATCAACCCGGAGGTATAGTAATAGTCTACCAAGTGACTAGGCATTAAGCCGCATACTCCATTAACAAAGGCCTTGGCAGCCTTGGGGCGTGAGGGGTTGGCCAGTGTTCCCGAGATGATTTTCGCCTGGATTTCGGTAAACTCCTTCAACATCTCGAACTCCTGAAAGTTATTAGCCAACTTCACCAGATAGGTCAACAAAGGAGTGACGGTCATCATATAGGACCTGCTGCCACGTTTTGTTTGCAACTGTTCAGTCACGAACGCGTAGTATTTGTTGGTCAATTCCTGTAAGCGAACCGCACCTAACTCCACCTGATACGCCTTGGAAACCTGATAAAACAAAGCGATAAACTGGTTGAAAAACGGGTTTATGAGGTGGGCAGTGCTTTCAGGTTCGGTCTTTGCCTGGTGCGGGGTCTGTGGGGGCGCGTAGTAAATGAGTTCGGCGTCCGCCGTGGAGATGTAATGGAATACAAGCTCGAACACTCTGCGGACGTACACACATTCAGCAGGCTCGGTACTAACCGAATTGAGTGGGATGGGGCAGGCGGTCTGCGCCGATGGAGGCAACGTGTCTTGCAATAGCCTCACCAAGAGAAGCACCCAGAGGGAGTTGTGTTTCAGGGTGTCGTTGTACTTTTGGAGAATCTGCAAAAGGTAGCTAAACCAGTCACCGTAATCTGTGGCATCACAAGCAGGGCGGGTAGCAGTGAAGTAGGATCGCAAGACATCGTCGATAGTTGTAAAGAGAACCTCGTAGTCGGTAGTAAGCGGGTCCTCTGGAGTGGCAAAGTACGGTTCGCTGACGTTGTCGACAGACATTTTTGGCAATCACAATTCAGACTACTCAAGATATGGTATATTGTTGTAGTAAAATACCAGTATAATAACACTAAAAATGAGTGTTATAAATGGCACGTGAGTCTGTTCCAATTTGCTTCTGATCTAAACCCCGTTGGTCGATAAGCGAACGTGGAGAGGTTCAGAGGGGCCGCTTCTCGTCGGTCATCGCACGCCATTACTTGCACACTTCGGATCTCCTCCACGAGACAGGTTGGTTCCTCCAAACCCAGGAAATAATAGAAAGACAATTCCGTGTCTAAATCACTCTAAAACGTTTCACCCTTCTAGTGGAAAAAACGCAAAGGTATGAACGTTGTAGATGCCTCAGCTCTCACAATGGTTGTATCTGCATCTTAACCAACCGGCATCATGCACAGCTTATCCAAGTATACAGCGATATGAGAAGTTCAAAGGGGAAATAGTTTATCGTAGTGGTGATTAAAATCAAAGTAAACTATTTGAAATAATATAATACCCCTTTTTGATAGCTCTTCATCTGGACCTGGTGTGCAATATACTCGTGGGCTATACTATGTTGACCACAGTAAATCACTCTCTAAATACGCAGAGGTATTGAAAAGGATTAAACTCGTCTTGGGTGGGGATATTGAACGTTGATCGGCGAAATAAATCCGATACAGCTTCGAATTCAGGACCTCAATTCGGTCGGGAATGCTCAAGGGAACTATACGGAGTGTAGATCTCCGCGTGAACCATTGTCATGCTTTCGCAGATCCAGCATGGAAATGATAAAATGCCGCACAACGAAGTTCTCTTGCTCAGATCCTTGTGGGTGGTGTATTTGGGAATGAACCTTAAAGAGCCTGTTTTGTTCGAAAATTCACATCCGAGAAAACCCAAAAACAGGAACTACGTTGATTTGAGAGATGGGTTTAGAGAACATTCAGAACCCCCAAAGCATATCGGTAAAGCTTCACAGCGGTACTGAAAGAATTTACGTTTCCAATAACTTGCAGCTACGTAGAAATCTCTGGTGAACTAGGGAAGGAAGTGTCGAAACGCCATTCCTTTGCTCTAGATATGATCTGCTATACCAGCTATGGAGATATCGAAACGGAATCCTTGAACGTTTTTGAATTCGCTCGCACATGCAAGTTGACGCTAGAATTTTGGGTTTGGCTGGCTGTGCATGAATAACCTATTCGCCAGTCTTTAAGACTCTGTTTCACAATGAACTCTAAACCTAACGATGATGGCACTAGAATGTGTAAAATGGAATAACTAACCTATCATGCAGATGCTAAGAGATACGTATGTACGGTAGCCATAACCGTGTTCTACGTAATAGCAATTGTGGGAAGGAATTACGAACCCTTGGCGACACTGTGGGCAGTTTGCTTGCTTGCTCTGTCGCACCTGGTCCCGAAAGTTTATACAGGTTGATTATTTGAATGTAAATTAATTTCGGTCATGAACCCGTCCCACTAAGTTTGGGCCCACTGCAAACGAGTGCGAAGGAGGAAACGTGGGCATTCACAAATAACGCTCATTACGAAACTTTCCACAAGGCATAAGCTCCCTGTACGTCTGAGATCTCCTTCAAACGTTTACTGGTGCCTAAATACTTACAAGATCATGCCGCATAACCATTATAATGACTAGCATATAGTTCAGTGCTAACAGGAGTTATGGTGCTATGGCATATATAGCAATAGCCTATGACATGGTTTAAGTGCCAAACGCAATACATGTCTCTGGGACCCTAGCCACAAGTTTTGAAGGTAAGGGTCAGTTGAAATACTTCTAACAGCATACTTAAACCGGTGCTTCTTGAAATCGCAATATAACCGGCTGGGAAAGTGGTCAACGCATCACTGAAATAGCATTTGACTGACTGTCTAAATCCAGAGATGCAGATTGTTTACCAGGGTAGTATGCGTTAGTGCAGGAATTGGGCTATTGCCGCATTCATATCTAGCCACAGCGAAGTGGACCTTTGCTCTCTTCCATCTCTCGTCTATACCACACTCTAAAAGTACTAGAAATTTCCCTCTTTCGAGGACTGGAGGAGATTTGGTGCCAATAATAGGGAATATAAGCGTACATAGTCTCCGGCTAGAGCAGGCCAAAAGGTACCGCGTAGGCAGTTCTCGGCTTAAACAACTTTTGAACAGCCAGATTAAGTTCAATCGCAGGTTCCAGCCCGAGGCTTTTATGCACTAAATTTCTAAGCACTTCTAACCTCCAATGGGCGCTGCCTTGGTGAAAATAAACATGGAACAGAAGACTTGTGGCTTTCGCTCCAAAGCGTATACTTAAGCCTCTTTGTGCAGGCGTCAAGAAATGTCCTTCTGGACATATGGCGTCATACATTCATTGTTGACGACTTAGAATGTTGGAGGCCCCGACAACTGGCATAAGTTAACAGAGGCCTTGGCATAACCGCTTCATGCGATGCACCGCTTGTTTACCGTCGTATTACTTGTACACAGTAAATGAGCGACCTGTGCAAGTCTCGACAGGGATAAGTCTCAGATACATGGAGCGTCTAGTGTGGGTACCCATTGACCCTGGATACTCTATCAGCCTTGTCGATTATCTCCGTAATTTTGCGCAGAAAGACAACCACTTGACAAGAGTTGGGAGTCCTATAACTTCGCACTATTGGAATGTCATTTTGATTCTATAACTCGGGTTTAGCTCCCGAAAAGTGATAGCTTGCCAGGGAGTGGGCCCCGGTAAATTGATGTCAACCGATCCATCTGCAGGCCGTTCATAAAGCTTAGTCCTGGTATGCATGACATGCTGGGCTAGTTGCCGCTCGGGGACCCGGAGAAATATGCAGTAACTTGCACCAGTCTCGCTAGCTTGTTGCGGTTCGACCTTGAGAAATTCTACACTCACAATCTGTTGGATTAGACATATTTCACCGAATCTTAGAATCTATAGCTATTTTCTATAACACGCTAGGCTAGCCCAAGATGGAAAGTGCCGTCTGACGTTATTGTGGTAACGGATCCGATATAACCCTCGATAAGCCGTAGTCTCTGGGCTAGACGCCCCCAAACTGGCTGGGACAACTCCGATCAGGTCTTTCAAAGGGATACACAGACGTTCGAGCCACCTACCCGCATAACTTTTATGCAGCCCACACTTTGGCATTAACCCCCCGATCAGATCGCAATCTGGGATCTTCGATGCATCATACATCAGCGCACGCATGAGCACATAAGCCTGCACAGGCAAGTTTGGTCTAAAATACAACCATATCTGGGATTATTACATATTCTCGCAGGATCTTCTCTACGCAAATTGTAGCCTATATCTCTTTTTTAACTCCTTGATGTTAAGAGAAGTGATGTGCTTCCAATTTAGGTTCACCCGTACTTCCCAACTGTGTTTACAAGCTCTCAAACCATGTAAGGCCCGAGCACACATTCCGGTGAGTTGCAGCTTCTCCCGATTAAATCGCCTATAAATATGGGCCCTTTCCCGCTAGGTTGATGCTTGTTTGTTTGTTTTATTTCTAGTTACCCACCAATCTTCTAACTACACAATGAAGTTCTGCTCCGCTATCCTCACCGCTTTGGCCGTCGCCTCTTCTGTTATTGCTGCCCCAGCTCCAGCTGCCGCCATTAAAGTCCCTACTATTTCTCTCCCAATTGCTGCCATCCAGTCTTCTATTGTCCTCCAACTTGAGAACGCTCTCTCTGGAATTGCGGCCCTTGCCTCCTCTGCTGCGGATGCTCCGGATGCTCAGGTCTCTAATGTTGTTAGCTCTGTTGTGGCTGTCGTCGAGGCCCAGCAATCCGGTATCGCTGCTGCCATCAGTTCTATTGTTGGTAAGAATACAGGTGTGATCCCAAGCTCCCTTCTTGCTCAGGAGACCATCATCCAGTCTGCGTTGGGTGAAGTTCTCGCTGCTGCCACTGGTGCTCTCTCGTCTGCCAGCTCTCCAGCTGAAGCTGTTACTGTTATCACCTCTGCCCTTTCTAGTGTTACCAATATCCTCTCGGCCGCTGTGTCCACCGTTACTGTCCTTATTACCGGTCTTATCGCCGGTGTTGCTAACCCAACCACTCTTCCGGCCAACCTTTCTGTTTCTCTCCAATATGCTTTGAGCGCGCTTACCAGTGCGCTCACTGGCACCCTCCTTGGTGGCCTTTTGGGTGGACTTACCGGTGGACTGGGTCCTGACCCCGTCACTGGTATTTTATCTACCGTTGTCGGCCTTTTGGGCGGTATCACAAATTCTAACCCTCTCTCTGGTCTTTTGGGCGGTATTGTGACCGGTGGTACTAACCCACTCTCGGGCCTCTTGGGCGGTTTGTAGGGTGGCAAATGTGTTTTTTTTTTATATAAATCAGGAACCTTGATCCTTTTTTTAAATTAGTCTTTGGTACTGGTACCAACGAACTATATCTTTCAGCTTCAGCAAGATCAGCTTGAGCTTTTTTCAGTTATATTCTATTTCAGTCAATATCAGGTGCATCCTTTGGATTGCTTATGCTTGGACATATACACCCTCTTGTTAAGTCCGATTGGCGTGACCATTTCTCATAGAAACATAGACTTGAGGTTTCATTAGCGAAAAATGTTATTTACCACTATTGGATCACTTGTTATTGTTTCCTTTCGGCTCTAAGCCACGCCCAGCCTGTAAGTCTCCGATTTAGGTCCCAGTTTGTTAATGTCCTAAGCCCCACTGTAGCAAAGGTACTATTTAACTAGACGGGTGTCGGCGATCACTATCTCCTTACCTCCAATAGGCGGACCCCCCTGGTATCGTATCCGCCTCGGTATATATGGCCACCGCCTATCCTTTTCTTGTGTATATCCTACGGATGAAGAGTATTCTCTTTTAGCTAGCTAACAGTATCTGTAGTATATCTCTACCTCAAGGGTAGAATATCTACTAATAGTAATACTGGTTGCCTATATAATGTATATAGGATAAAGGAGGGAGAGATCGACCTCCTTATATAGAGTATTGATCCCTATCACGTGACAGTTACGCGATTACTACAGCATCCACTATTACCTTCTAAATATATTGCACCCTCTATCTTCTCTAATACAACAGGTTTAGCTCTTTCGATATCCTGTTTTCTGTTTATCATTAGTTCAGGATATTTCGCACAATTTAAATTATTAAACTAAATACAGGTTCCGTCATCATCAATTACGTCATTATATTTATATTTCTGAATAAAGAATGTTAAAGTCTGATATAAACCTTACTATATACAACAATACCCATTTTATCTCTTCGAGCTATATCACCATTGTTTAGGTATGCCAATTTTTCACCATATATTGCTAATGGATGCTTATATATACATATCGATTATAAAACTATACGCGAGCGGACTAATGTACGGTATCACATCACGTAGTACGCGCCTCGCAAATAATTCAGATGTGCATTTTCATGCGTACGTGTTCCTGCGCTTACAGTTTGTGGAGCGAGCCCAGGACAAACGATTCGAGGAACATCGCCCATTAATGCCAGTGAAGCTGCATATCTCGTGCGGCTAGTAATTTACATGACGGCCGGGGTTTGGGGGTGTGAGTGCGTCTTAGTGCACATACAAATGGCGCGCTAGACTGTGCCTGGGCGATGGCTTGGCTCCCCGCTAACCACGCGCCTTTTTAAGCTTCCTCTCCACATAGCGGAAATGGATCTGTTATACAGACTTCCATTCCCCTACGAAACGCGCTTATTTATTCGTTGCTTCTTATACAAGCTCCAAACACCGATTCACCCCTTAAAATAGTTCAGTAGAGGGAAGAAAAATGGTTCAAGTCCAGTATAAGGCTACTGCTGACAGGTACTTGACAAATGGTTTGCTTATGAAACTTTCCAATGCGATAATTACACCATGGCTAGAGATCGGGCAAGACGGCACTCGTTTTAAGGATTTTGGTCTCGGCGAACTTTCCCAGCTCTTCCAACAAGACTTTTATGTAACCGTGGCCCAAGATCCTAAAAACACTCTGACCACCAACCGTTATCAGCCTTTATCACCGATGGTTTAATCTTGCTAATTTTTGCACCGCGATTTCCATATTGCTTAGGTTATACTCATATCCATGAATCGTGAAGCTAATTGCTGCCGACCATGGACAATTGCTAATGTTCCAGATTTCCACGCTAGGATCTTCTTTATGCTTGGAAAATTCTCGCCTACAGATCGCCTCGCGCATAACGCTAAAAAACAAACGCAACAATCAGTCTCCTTTAGCCACTCACGTGCCTCCAACATGCCTAAATCCTGTGGGCAAGGCGGGCGCCTGCGTGTCCCAGGACTGTGGGCCCCAGTATTTTTCCTGCGCTTTTTTCGGGTGCAGCGTAAACAAAGATCAGGTACAGGAGTAAAGCGACAACGGTCAAAGATTTTCGTTCAACGATCAACAGATATTAAAACACACGGTGGTATACTGAACTATTACGGTTGCTGTCTACCGCCCCACGTTTACCACCTACCCCTCTTACATTCACTCTCTCTATTACCCTTCCAAGGAATCTACCGGCTCCAGGCCACATTTCACATCACCGGACACCCATTGTACCTACAACTTCTGCCAATCATCCTAATTCAGCTATTTCTGATAGCCAAATCCTTGTTTTTATACCCAAACCCACCGTTACTTTTAATACCATGACCCTCTCACAGATGAACGATGCCAGAACACACGCCGAGAGCGATGCTCATGCACACAGCGATTCCACCGATATAAATACTATAAAAACCAACACAAGCGCTAAAGCCTATGAGTGGCGCAATGACAGTGACACCTACGCTTATGGCCACCATGGGGAGGTTATCTACGACTCAGAGTACCTCTTTCCGTTCCCCAACCCTGCCGCAGGCTCACCGCTTCTCCGGTTCGAGCCCACCAAGGCGGACCAGCTTGCAGTGGCCAACATTACCGCGCTCGTGGCGCAGCTCACGTCTCCAAACTCTGTTGACTATGACTTTTTGTACGACTTCTTCCTCACGTACCGCATGTTCGTTACGCCAACAAAACTCCTCGACTTGCTTATGGCGCGGCTTGTGTGGGCGCTCCAGTACCACGCGCGCGGGCGCGACACGTACGCACGCGACCACAACCCGCAGTACGAGACGCTCGGTGCGCTTGTGCTCGTGCGCACGTTCGTCGTGTTGCGACACTGGATCATCAACTTTTTCCGGCAGGACTTTGGGAGCAACTACGCGCTCCAGGAGCAGTTTGTGGAGCGATTGAACGACGTGATCGCGCGCTCTGGATTGCTCGTGAGTGACCTTGCGCGTCGCGTCATCACCGATTTGCGCGCGCACTGGCTCAAGCTCGTAGACGAGTCCCCTGAAACCACCTTCGACGAAGAACACACGCCGCAGTTGCTCCCATCTGCTCTCAACTCATCCACAAACAAAATAGGTTCCACCTTGTTCAACTACCGCATTCCCGAGGACATCCCTGGCGTGACCCACCGCCACGAAGAGGACGTTGATGATGGCAAAACGACTGCTGATGTCGTTCCGAGCCTCGCGCTTGCCAGAATCATGCAATTAAAGAATCAGAAATCCACCCCGAGCCTCTTGCATTCGTTTCCCGCGGAGGATACGGCCTCCGACCCTGGTCGCTCGTTCTATATTAACCCGGATAACAACAAACCAGTGTTTATGAAGGAGTTTAATATTCGTTCAGATGAGTCTTTAGATGAGCCAAGGCCCCCGAAAACCCACAAGGCCCTGAACTCCGTCTCCACAACCTCCTCCAACGCTACAATCACTTCCCGCGACAAGGGCACGATCCTCAATCCGCGCGACAACTCGGTCGGGCTCCGCAGGACCGTCAAGGTGCAGTTGAGCGAGCCATACGCGCCAACACAAGGCGTGATTCGTCTCAGCATGCCGCTTCTCCGCGGTGAGACGACCATCTCCCCCTATCCCGGGGATAAGCGGTTCTTCGACGAGCAGCGGGAACCGCTTTCGCGTGGCTTCACCACCAACGGCGCGTTGAATATCATGTCCTTGAGCTCGCTCAGCTACGATGAGACCGCCGTGGTTCCCAAGACACCCGCAAAGAAGATGTTTCTTCGGTTTCCGAGCGAGGACAGGGCCATCGAGTCGCCGAAAGAATTCAGGCCCCCAAAGGCTGAGGACTGGAAAAAGATCTTCAAGGCCCCGCCTTTGCTTGATGGCGGCCCCCAGTTGAGTCTGCGGAGCCGCAAAAGCTCGTTTTCGTCGTTGCTCGATTCGTCTGCGAATGGGTTGAACCGCTTGTCGTCGCTCAGATTGAAGCGCAAGCCGTCCAGTCTTCCGTTATCCCCGCCAGGCTCCGTCCACGACAATGACAAAACTGAGGAGCATTCTCCTTTGATAGACACCAGTCTGGTTTCTGAGGATAAGGTGGACTGTTTGAGCAAGATGTCTGTGATGGAGTTGCACCAAATCGCGGAGTTCTTCCAGGCGAATTTATCGAAGTTCGACTATCAAGGTCTCGGGATTCTCGGGATCAATAACCAGGGCGACGTGGTGATGAATCAAGGAGAGACCCTTGTGGGTGAGAGTTTCACTGCCTCCGCGCTTCTTCTCCGTCGGTCGCGGGCCAAGTTGATGAGCACTATGCTTTCTGACCCGAACGAAGGAACGGGTGAGGCGGATGCTTCGTTTGGCGCCCTAAGTGCTGAAGTCAATGCCTCGATGCTTGATGTACCGCGGATCCGTGCGCGCGCGAACGTAGAGTTGTCCACGGTGGATAAGGAGGCCGACTTTGACTTTGGCTTCGACTTTGACCGAAAAGAGGTGGTTTCTGGGAGCTTTGTGCGCCATGACCAGACCGACCACGACGTTCTTGTCGAGGATTCTGATGGTGGCGATACGTCGCAGGATATGGGCTCCATCCGGCCCTATCGGCCGGGCCACAACTACAGCTCCGAGATTTTTAAATCGTCAAAGCTCTTTTCCAACCCCAGCCTCTCGCAGATTTCCAGCATCAACAAGCGCAACAGTATCTTGTCAAATAGCGACACCAAGAGCTATATAAGCTACGACTCCGCAATCAGCGCGGATCAGGGCCGAAAGGTAAATCCGCGGAGTCGAGACTTGGGCGAAGAGAGAGGGCTCCGCTCATCGACACAGTTCTTTGACGCCCTGTTTGACATCGAGGATATTACATCGGATATACGTCCCCTCAGTATGGCACAAGGTGACCATTTCGGTGAAGTGGGTTCTGAGGTCCAGCCGAGCGAAACTAGTCTCGGCGAGGTCAAGCGGGACTCAGTCCGGCCTAGTTATTCTGAAAAATTGGGTCCAGGGACCAAGTCCAGCGGCTCTGAAACTAAAAGGGATTCCGAGTTCAGACTGGGAACCAGGGTCTCCACGCTGACGGCCACCAAGCACAGCTCGTCCATTTCTAGCAAATCGTACATTAGCTACGACTCGGACCTCTCAATCAACGTCAGTGATGCCAACTACGTAAATGTCACGTTTCAGAACGACCTTTTGCGGAAGAAGCATGGGTTTGCTAACCTCCAGGGGTCGGACCTCAGCCCGCGGCTCCAGAACCTCGACACAATTTTCGGTGAGATGGAATCCCCGCAGAGCGACGCTCCGCTGGGTAACTCTAGGGCAACCATTTCCGAGGGAAAGAAGTACAACCTTTCCGTCTCGTCGTACGACTCCATCTTTGACGACCTCAGGGAGAAAAACCACACGTCAGGAAACAGCACTGACGCCAGCCGTGACGGAAGCAACCCCGGGGTGGTAGACTTGGTATCGCCAAACCTTGCTGGGCCGGCCCTGCGATCCAGCCGGGTATCGAGAACCCCCGACGGCTCCATTCTGTTGATTCGCAATACCCAGATGGACTCCCTGGACTCTGTCTTTCGCTCAGATACTCCACCGCTCAGCATGCTTGACTCCAACAAATCGGCCGCCATTCCTGGCTTGGACTCCAAGATGTTGCGTGAGTTGGCTAGTATCCCAGATACCGAGGTGGATGAGAACGAGGATGCCCTCACGAATGCCTTGTTGATGTTGGAGGGGCGGTTCAGTCCGCATTTTCTGCAGCCAAGTGCGCTTCCGTCTAATTCCAGTACTCTCAAGGACTTTAGACAGCTCTTGCATTCACCGTTGAACCCGGGGGTGGAGGCCGAGGAACACCCACAGACAGACAGGGGGGAATCATGCGACGAGAAGGAGTCACAGGAGAGTGCTCATGATGAGGGATACCTCCAGGAGCTCATTGAGGGCGACAAGGTGATGTACCGGTTGTCGAAGATGTTGGGGACGGGGATTTTTGACGAGCAGGGTCCGCTGAACGTTTCTATGCGGATGAATAATGTCAAACAGGTGTCGAAGTTTGTGTTTGAGCGGTACAACCAGGTTATCTCGCCCGCAATTGAGCTGTATCTCCCGGTGGAGGACTTGATGCAGGGGAACAGCCATTGTCCGTTCATTGTTCACTACTCGTCGCTAGACGTGGCGGTGCACTTGACATACATCGAACGCGACTTGGTGCTCGACATCGACTGGAAGGAGTTGATTGAGTTGAAGTGGAATCAGAACATGAAGCCGTACAACTCGTGGTTGGAGTTGATCTTGGACTACACGGATGTACGGGGCGTGGAGCTTGTGATCTCGCGTTTCAACCTCCAGGTGAACTGGGTCATTTCCGAGGTACTTTTGTGCAAGGATCCGTCCTTCCGTTGTGACATCATCTCGCGCTTCATACATGTGGCACAGCACTGCAAAGAGATGCAAAACTTCAATTCGTTGGTGCAGATCATTTTGGCATTGACCAACGCCCAGATCAGCGGGTTGAAGGAAACGTGGCGAGTGTTGGACCCGGGCGACATCTTGATGTTCAAGAACTTGGAGGCCCTCACGATGCCGCACAAGAACTTCCAGCGGCTCCGCAGTGCTATGGATAATATAAAGCCATCCAAGGGGTGCATCCCCTTCCTTGGCTTGTACATGTCTGACTTGACCTTCAACGCTGAGCGTCCAGTTTTTGTCAAGCCCAAGGCTCATGGGACCGGCGAAGACACCACCGTGGTGCTGGACACGACGATCGACACTATCAGCGAGGTGGATGCGAAGTTGATCAACTTTGGCCGCTTCCGCACCTCCGTCTCCATCGTCAAGTCGCTCAGCCAGTGTATTGACTGGTCGAACTTGTATGACTTGACCGTGCATCGCGAGCTCTTGAGCAAGTGTTTATACATTCGCAGCTTGACCGACGACCAGATGTCGGTCGCCAGGAAGTATTTGATTGATGCGTAAGGTGAATTTATTGTGAATTTAATGTTGCAGGTAAATCATAAAAGTAAACAATTTTGCAACGTGAAATAGAACTAGAGGGTGGTGTTTACCGTTGGTTATTAATAAAAACCGGGACGAGTTTCTAGGCTTTTTGATAAATTGGCAATTTTATATTCATAACCAAATCCTCGTAGTGCTTGTACATAGTTCACGTATTGTATTTTAAGCCCTTCTTCAGGCAGTCTCTTTAGCCACGCGGTTATTTCAAAGACATTACTATTGAACTATTAATATAACGCTAAAATTTTATTGCTTAATACATAAATCTCCGGTAAATGTTACACTGTAATGATCTTCGAGTGCCCTACTAACAGCCTAATCGGGCCTCTACAAGTACTGTATATAGCTCCCCCCTTGTGAGGCTTCCTGGTAGTACACCGCCCAACTCACGTGATTTGAAAATCTCACCAACGCTCGAGAGTTTTAAAAATCCGACGGCGGCAGCAATCCGAAGCCAGCCAAAACACTGTATTACTACACATAATGGGTAAGGGTTTGTTATACACCGGTGTTTTGGCTTCTGCCCTTTTGGGATATGCTGTCTATTTTGACTACTCCCGTCGCAACTCGGCCGACTTCAGAAAGCAGTTGAGAAGGAACAAGAAGGTGCTCCAGACTGAGGAAAAGGCAGCCAAAGATAAAAACAACAGGGCCAAGACGACCTACATGAAACTTGCTGTCGAAACCTCCTTGCTTACCGATCCCCTTCCAACCGATTTGGCCGGCAAGGAGACTTACTTCATGGCCCAGGTCTCCCAGGCTGAGAAGTTGGCTGCTGTCCCAGGTCAGGATGTCGAAGCCGCTGTCGCCTTTTACAAGGCGCTCTGTGTCTACCCTAAGCCATCGGACTTGTTGGCGATCTATCAGAAGTCGGTCCCAGAAAATGTTTACGAGTTGATCATTTTGGCCATCGCCACCCACCCACCCCAGTCCTTGGCTAACATCTTGGGCGACTCCATCTCCCAGCCAACCGAAGAGTTCGACTTTGCCGAAGAACCAGAACAGGAAGAGCAGGATTAAGCGTCGATCCACCTCGGTTACTCTGTATATACATATAAACGTATTTTAAATCGACACCTGTAGATGCGCATTGGATGAAACAAGAGTGTTTCTGGCGTTGTGCACCGTCGAAGGGGATCACCGTCCTTGAAACCCCCTTGCTTAATAATAGCAATATAAGGTGTAGCTGTCATGAAAAATCTCTGGTCTTTCGATTCTGATCAACAGATATCCCCGGGTTATCACTCCGCTCAGTCAATGTATTTTGGTCTGATGCTGGCTTATGTCTGAAACTTGTAGCCCAGAGGTCAGTCTGTATCGCAAGACCGGAAGGAGCTGTAAACAGAAGCCTGAACACAATAGTTACCAAACTATGTCAAGGAAATACCGAGACCTTCTAGACATGATACCCTTTGGTATTTATCATACCAAGCGTTTAGACGGAAAGGTGCCACCTCGAGTCTCGAGCTCCGCCGATGTCATTGATTTCTGGAAACACTACTAGAAGCGCTTACCGAATCAAGTTCGAGAAGGTTTCGTGTGCTTATACCTTTATATACACATCTTAGCCCTCCACAATCCTTGCCTATGCCTGTAGACCCTGACGGATATCCATTACTCCGAATATCTTGAAGGGCAGACCTCTGACCCATTACCTTCTATTACTCTAACCCTATACAATAAAGGTTTTAAATTTGATCAAACCTTTAGCCTCATCTTTGCGTGCGATCTCGGTGCCATCGCTTCATTAACTATGCATGCATCCAAAATGAATCTCAAGCTCATCCCTCCAATCGCTTCTGCTTCTTCTTTTCGTAGAACATATCGCTTCGGGAACTACCAAGATTGATAATCTTCGGACAGCCGTCTCTGTCTTTCTCCAAGCGACAGCACTCAAAGCAGTAGAACGCGTCGGAGACACCATGGCCCCCGCACAATATGCACTTTCCGTTTAGCTTCCCAAAGGAACACTCGTCACAGATTCTGGTCTCTCTGGTGGGTCTGTTGTAGCTATCACACGTGGGACATTTCCCGTCGCACTTCTCACAGAGCTTGGCCACAGTGGTGCCCGGCTGTTTGAGGCACATTAGAAGGTCGAACTGGTGGCGAGACATTGTGAAGATAACCTTTGATGTTAATGAGACAGTTGTGAAGATGCAAGTGGAAGGCTGGGATACGTTAATATGGAGGTACTACCAATATTAGATTCGACTATAGTAGGAATTCCAACTCGTGCCAAGTTTCTGGGTGACCTCCTCGGATACCATTTGAGTTCTAATAGATATGCCATAAGTTGGAGTTAAATTTCCAGTCACGTGTTTTAATTTAGTACATGCAGGAAGACAGGTTCTCAACAAGGGTTCCATTAACAGATTCTGATTTGCCTCCCCCCCTAAATGGCCATTTATGTCGTCACATCTCTCTAAATTTCCTCTTGAAGTCATTCATACCATTATATCACAGCTTCCGATCCAAAATCCTCAACAAAAGTGCTATCATGGCTGCTGAGCTTTCTTCCCCGGGGCCTACCAACAATCAGAGCGAGGACTGCACGATCTGTCTTGAGGGGCTCTATGACACGGCTATATCCAACCACATCGGCCGAATCTCCACCTGTGGCCATATTTACCACGCCGAATGCATCAAATCCTGGTCCGACCGCAGCAGCTCCTGTCCCACGTGCCGCCTCCACTTCCAACACATTGATATCCTCGACCACCACATGGCGGTGTACGAACGGTTAGAGGTTAAAGACAAATTTTACCAGTCGGAAGACGTGTTAAACGAGATTCCCGAAGAATTCATCAATCCTCCCGATTCAGAGGACGATTCCAGTTCCCATTTTCGCCACCAGACCAACGACTATCTCCTCCAGTCGCCCTACTCACGGTTTATAACCTGCACGTTGTGCGATAGCCAGAGCGGCAGCAGTATGGTAGGCTCAATGGTGCTGTGTGACGGTTGTTCAGGCTTGTTTCATGTATCCTGTCTCGGGTTGGAAGCGGGAGAACCGTGGTTCTGTCCCATGTGCGATTCCCCCCACGAAGGAACGCGAGCCGTAACCCCGAACATAGGCATAAGGCGGAGTCGGAACTCCATTCTTACCCACAGAATATACGAGGCTGCCACCCGACGGAACCAAGAAATGAGAGGCAGAGCGTTGAATAGCAATCCTCCGGGATTTGATGCATTACCAAGTACCCCTCTTAGTAGCTTTACATCGCTGAGTGTTTCCCTCAATGGATTTACATTGCTGAGCCCCATAGTCCATCGAAACAGATACGAACCGTCGCCGCCGCCACGAAAACTCACCAAAGAAGAAACCAACGCATGGGAGCAGTTTGACAAGGCGAAAGACATGGGGGTTGCCACCGAGCCCTCAGTAACGGCTCGGAAGCGCCAAACGGGTGATGCGGAGCGAAAGTTTAAACGGCCATCGCGCAGAACAAGGGGAAATGAGACAATAATAGAAACGGGTCCATCAACACTAGAAAGCCCCCAGCTCCCCAAAAAATCGCTCGTTTCGTCTATCCTTTCGGAAATGAAAGCTAATAGCTCGAAGATTACAATTGCCAATGATGGCTTGATCATGACAGGAATTAATCTCCACGAAACCAACCCCAACATCCACAATACCCGGTCCCTAGCGACCTTCTCGCCACCAGGATCGCCCAGATCGCCCGAGGCATCAGACTCAGATATCGAAATAAAGTTACCTGATTTCTTTGGGATTGATGCAGGGTTTCAGCCACCCCAAAAGGGGGGTAAAATGCGAGCGGATCTGCCGGTATCAAATTCGGAGTCTGACTCTTCCAGCTCGGTGCTCACGTATGAGAATAAGAAACGGATCCAGGAAAATGTGAGGGACGTGCTTCGTCCGTTATATAAGGATGGTAAGATTGACTTTGACAAGTACACCGCCATCAACAAAACGGTTTCTCGAAAGCTCTACAAGTTGGTTGAACAGAACCCCCCAGGGGCTAGTAGTGAGGGCTACTGGCAGAAGATGGCTGACAAATACACCCAACAGGAGCTTCAGAACGGAAAGACCATATAATGACAAACGGGAAGGTGTTGATTCGCGTTAAGCCTCCAGGAGAGCCTTAAGTTACGATATGACTAAGAGTCGGAAATAAAGGAACGGTGTTCTGGTACGTAATGAAAGGACGGATAACCAAGTGGGGGTACATAAGGTACCCGGTAACAATATAGAATATGCCATTTTAATCGACAATGCTAATATAAAAGGGTCCCAAACCAGGGGCAGCTTTCATAATTAGACTGATTTCGATTGGCCTATGTAAACGGGTAGCTACCGGAAGGAGCATATGTGGGTTTTCTCAGATACATATGCGTGTAAATGTGAGTGGCTTGTGAAGTACCGAAGGTGGCTGAGTAACCTGACCAACAGTGATCATCTACAAAAAAAAACGTTGCCTTGCTCTGATCCCTGGACCTGTATTGGCTTATAGATTACTTCGAAATAAAACGGATGCTCGATCAACAATAGGGAGCCGCTGCGTTTTGGTGTGTTGCCTGAGGCGTCGTGCGTCGTGTAACTAGTCCTTTAGCCCATGCCAACCGCCTAGCGTTCGCGCGTGCGCTCAGAGTTCGCGCTAACGCGTGCCGAGCCTGCAGGAGGATGTGAGCAGTGGCATCTGGCGGAGACTGACCTTGCACCATGAAACTACTCCTGAAGTTTAGGGTATTGTTCTCAGATTAGAGTATTTCCGCAGATAAGGGTCTTGCCTCAAATTACGGTATTTTCCAAACCCCTTCCCGTGGTTCAATGGTGCCAGAAGAAAGAAAAATCAGACACAAAGGCTCGTTCCTGGCGTTGCGGCAGAAGCTCAAGCCCAAAGGCGTGTTTGCTGATATCACCCCACAGAAAACCAGACAGAAACCTCCCAGAAACCTCTCTGACAGCCTTAGAAGACCAACTTTTCTCAAAAGCGAGTCAGATACACCCTCTAAGCCACTAGCAAGAAAGATCTCGCAGCTCTTTGACCGTTCCCTGAGCGCTCCCGTGACCGTTCTCGAACGAGAGTCCACATTTGAAACAATTTCCAGCGGAAAAGTACTATCCGAACGGCCTAGCTTTGCCTCAAATACTTCCGTAGACTCAAAGTCTTACCTGGAGGTTTCGCTGGCAGCCGAGCCCCTTGTCATGCCCAGACACCGCTCGCGTACCGTTTCGTTCGGGGCCTCGATCGACCCAGACAGTCTCAAAACACGAAGCCTGTCGATTGTGAGCTTGAATGTGTTATCATCGTTAGGAAACATGCTCCGTTCGTCTAGACCATCGGCGGAGCTCAGCCCCTCCGTTTCCCCCGCGCAGCCCGACGCCGCGCCCATCCGCGCTGCAGACTTTCCGCACGGTGAAGCGTATCTCGCATGTCTCGAGAGCATATATGACGACTTTCCCGGAGTTCACGCCAAATCCAGCCGCCAGATCCTCGCGGTGCTCGCGCACGAAATCACAGAGATTGGCCGGACGACTAAGTCCGCGCTGGAGCGCGAGATGGTAGTGGAGGCATTCCGCAGCTTTCTCATTAAAAACTTTGACTTCTACCAGGTACCCTTGGACATTGCACTCCGACTCTTGTTGGCCAGGTACAACCTACCGGGCGAGACGGGGGAGATTGACTTTTTTGTGACCGAGTTTGCCCGCAACTGGTACCATACAAACAACACCGACGACCCAGATATCCAGCCGGTGTTTGGCTCGCAGGACCAGATCTACATCCTATCATTCGGCATGCTCATCTTGAACACGGACCACCACAACCCCAACGTGAAGCAGCTGAGCCGGATGACCAAGCATGACTTTGTTAGCATCGTGCTAAACTCCTTGCTAAGCGACCCGGTGCCCTGCAACGTCACCAAGGAGATATTGGAATACTTCTATGACAATATCACGTACAAGGAGTTTAGCATGGCTACGCCTGAAGGTACGGGATTGTCCAGGTACGTGAAGAGCGTTTCTCCGCCTGTTCACGGTATACTCCTGCTGCTCGTTTCGCTGATAGACGTCAACTTGAAGGTTGAGTTTGAGGTTGACTACGTCAATCCGTTTCCCCGGGCGGTGCCAATCGATATCAATAACTCCATGATCTTTAACTACGTGTATTACCTCTTAACCACAGAGACTCCACCGGTCCAGTTGCGATTGAGCAAGAACAAGAGCAAGTGGCTCAACCCCCGGTTAGATGATCCCGAAACCACCCAGTACTTTACCAAAGTGATCCGCCTAGGCGTTGTGTACAAGCCAGTAGCACCCAAACTGCTCAGAGCCATCAAGCTCTATGGGATGCTCACCACCACTGGTTTCTATCTTTTCAAGCCCAGCCAGCTTCTTGCAATGTTTGAGATCAATCAGCAGCAGTTGGATGACCTCTGCGTCTACTTCAACGCGGTTGGCGACGCAGAACAGGTGACGACCCTCTGCGACACACAGTTTCCACCAATCCTCTCCGAAAAGACAGGCTACTCAGTTTTTGATTCGGGGTTCACTCCGCACTGCTCGCTCTCTGTGAACGACTTGTTTGCAACCCCAGACAAGGGCAGTTCCCTGGAGTCTAAAAAAATGTTCTTGGTGTGCGGGCGAAGCGCGGAAGAGATGTTATACGTACAAGAAGAAGGGGAAGTGGGGTTGTGGATCGACTCCATCAATGTGATTTCCGCGTTGGACAATGTGATTATCCCTCTCGCAAATGTCAGAGACATCCCTGCAGATTCAGATATAGACACCGGCTCCACCTGCCAGGAAATCACGGGCGGACGAACCATGGGTGTGCACGAAAAGACTGTCCGCTACTGCGAAATGCGCAGCGCTTCCATGAAAATCTTGCACGAGCGGTACCTCGGTATTCTCCAGTTCTTGTCCCACCATGTGTTCCCGTTACAGATGCGCACCAGAGAGATGGTGATGGCGCACGGGCAGATGATCAAGCTGCGGATAGACATGCTGTGGCATGAAATTCACAAGAGTGATATTATGATTGGTATTTTGCAACAGCTTAAGGTGTTACTTGATGAGCCATTCCCTGATGCGTTTGACGATACCTTGGTGGATGACGTGTCATTAGGGGAAGATGTGGCTCTCTGGACGAATGAGCTTTTTCTTGGAGAGGACAGCCCAAAGAGCCGGGTGAACAGTGTAAGGGGCCCAGACAGCCCGATAATTAGGGAGAATCGAAGATCCCAGGAGAAGGAGGCCTGTCTGGTTCAGGAAAGCTTTCAGAGGCTTGCTCCGTGGGACAGCCCAATCGTCTTGGAGAGACAGGACTCTAAGACTCAAGAGCCGCCCACTGGAATCATGTTGGAGCCGTGCCAGAACGTGAGTTCCACGTCGATCGTGACAATTCCGGCGGAGTTCGACAACTTTAGTCTTCACAGCAGTCCAATTAGGAACACCTTACTCTGAGAGATAGGATCATACCCAAATCCTCTCACAATGCATGAAAATTAGCTTAATAAAGGTGATACATTGTTCAAATAGGTGTAATACGGTGTCCAATGGGCTTATCCACAGGTACATAAAGACTTGTGGCGGCGATCTACTGAAGGAATATTAATTGGCCGTTGCATAAAAGGTGATTTCGAAGCTCATTTAAACAGTAATTTGATGGTTTTATGCAGACAGAGTTTTATCAATTAGCGATAAATTGATGGAGCATTAGTAAGTGAGGGATCCACCGTTCCGCCCGATTGGCACACCACTGGCTAGTTTATGTTCAGAGCAGCCTCTTACTCAGTAAGCTTTGCTCTTTTTTATAGTATTGTGCTTTAATTCTTTTTAATTTTAATACAGTCGGCCGTTGCCTACCTTTATATTGTTCTCCACTGTGTAGCACTGTAACAATCTTAGCCTTTAGTGTTTATGCCAAGTTATCTCCTGCAGCTGACGAAAATGAGGTATTGAACGCTATCCCTTATAAATATCCCCACATTAGAACCCGCGCCACCACCATACCTAAACACTATCAAAATGTCTTTATTCCTTTCCAAAGCACCGTACCATGTCATCATTTATTCCTTGATGTAAGTGCCTCTTCATGATTACCTAATTGTGTACTAACCTCCAGCTTCGGGGCCAGCACTTTCCAGTCGTTTCTCGCGGCCCCTGTCGCTCTTAGCGTCTTGGAGCGCCGCCAGTTCGGTGTTTTGCAGAACAAAATCTTCCCGGGGTACTTTATCGCCCAATCCGTTGCCCCGGTTTTGTTGTTCCTCACGGCGCCCTACCAGTTAGGTGCCGTTGCGCTCTCCACCTTGAGCGTGTGCAGCGTCAGTGGCTTGGCCAACTACTTCTACTTCTTGCCGTGGACCGAAGGCGTCAGATACAAGAGATACGCCTTGGAAGATGCTAATAAACACAAGAAGGATAATGGCGAATTCACTGATACGATGAAGGCGTTGAACTCAGAGTTTAGCAAATCCCACGGTTTGAGCTTGGTGTTCAACATGTCTAGTATCTTGAGTTTATTAGGCTATGGGTTTGCCATGACCCGTGGCTTGGTCAGATACGTTCCAAAATAGGTTAGCCGCTTTTCATGTACATAGTTGCCATAAATCTTTCATGTATGCCGCACGTTGAACGAGATAAATGAAGGAAAGTTACCAAAACGACGGGATTAAAAAGCAAAACAATCACATTGGTAAAAGGGGCAAAACCAGAATTATCGGATAGAACGGTAAATCAAATCGATAAATAAAGATCAAAAACAGTAGACGAAAAGTAATCAAAAAGACAAGGTCAACAATATTCCAAAAACACCCAAAGGACGAGGCTTGGTTCAGAAAACCGAAACAAAACGACAAAGAATATCCAAATATAAAAAAAAACATCAGAATGAAAATGATCAATAGCTCAGAGACCACTCGATGGACCCACGATTCCCCACTCTTCACATTCCCTCGGGAAGCATATCCTGCCACTCTCCGCTCTTGATACCACTGCTCATCAAAAAAGTCTTGCGTATGTGTTCCTCCTCATCCTCCACCTTTTCCACAGGGGTGGCAAGGCGTGGCAAATCGTGGCCATTGCTAGCGGTGTCCGGCTGAATTCCGAGGAAATTTTCAAACTGTAGCACGTTGAACAGGGTGGTTTCGGAGTACAAGTGTAATGCAGTCTTAGCTTGTTGAACCTGCACACCTTGTCCCTCGGGAATATACACCTGGTCTGGAGGCCCGTCGGTGTTCGCTCGCCTAGTCACCTTTTGCTTGTTCATTTTGGTCATTAGCTCCTTCGTCCGCGGGGAATCGATATCATTTTCGTACTCAATAGACAGGTTCGAGATATGCCCATACAGCACGTTTCCAGCAGAGTTATTCGTGCAATGAAACTGGGGGTGCGGGACTGGAGCCCCGGAGCGGCTCAACGACGGTGTTTCGTGGAGATGCAGCGCGCTGAAGGACATGGAGTTTTGCATGATGGGCGTAATCCCGGTACTCTTGCCCCTTCTGGAAACGGATGACGAGTTACCTGCCGAGTAGGAGTGCGCAGACATCGCTACAGAGGAAACCGAAGAGGTGGAGGTAGAGGTGTTGTGTCTGGAGTGGTGAGCCTTCTGGGGCGTGATGATGGGTTGGGGAGGCACACCTTTGCCTTTCACCGTCGGGGCAGACAAAGAGCGGGCTAGACCCTTACTTTCGTTCGCCTGGAACGTCCCAGTCATCGCCACAGGCGGCGGGGCGTCAGGCTTACGCAGCCCACTCACAGTATTTGCCCTGGCCAACTTCTTCTTAGAGTCCTTGCCCTTGCGGCCCTTCCCCTTTGGCTGTAGCAAAGACTTGACGTCGGTAAAAATGATCTGGAATTTGCTCATGCCCGATTGCATGGAGGCCGGTCGGGAGCCCAGAGTCGCCGGTTGGGGCGGGTCCACGTGCTTGCTATGGACTGAAGCCCTTCGCAAGGTGTTGGCCAAACTGTCTTCCTTTTTCAACTTGAGATCCGGTCCTGAGAAGGTACCCATGACCGGTGCTCTCGCGTTGGCAGGATAGTTTTGGTACTTGGAAGGATGGGCTGGGGTGGGACTGGTGGGGAGTGTGTAGGTCTTTTTGTCGGTTTTGGCGCTGGCAATAATGATCGTGGAGGGCGAGGACTGCTCAATGGGCCTGGCAGGAGTGGCAAAAGTGGTTTGCCCCGTGGGGAGGGTATTCGTTGTTTTATTGGCCAATGGAGTCCTAACACTCTCGATTTCCGCCTTCAAAACGCGGTTCAAGTTGCTCTTCAGCGGCGTGGAAAAGTCCGGATCACCAAAGGGCGACTTTAACGCTTTATGAATCGCCTTGTTGCTTTGTCTGGGAGGGGTGTCCAACGCGGTGATAGAGCGCTTCTGGTGCGAAGCTGGGGGCATGTTTTCCTTGAACCAGGAGCCGCCCTTGACGGCCGAGTTCAGGCCAGTGTGCACGACCGGCGAGTCGAACATGAAGTCATTGATGTGAAAGGAACGGTCGCGGAACGGTGTGGCGGAGTTCATGAACGGCATGTCGTTTATGTCAAACTCAAAACTCGCGCGGTTGAAGCCGGCAGACGGCGCGCTCGGCGTCAAAGGCAACATCCCGAAGCCGTCATGGGCAAAATTCGAGGGAAAGGTCTGGTACGAGGTGCGCCCTATAATCGGTGTCCATCCCGTGGACAGTTGGGGTGGCTGTGAGGGTTGTTGAGGTGGCTGGAAGTAGGCAATGTTTGGATACAATGGTTGGTCTGCTGGTGGCTGGTCCTGGAAGTTGAGGTCCATGTACTTCGACGGCGAAGACTCCAAGAATTTTTCGCGGGACATGGCAAAAGAGTATTGTTGGGGGGTACTGCTAACTTTTGTTGATATAAATGCCTTGTGGATCAGACTGTGAAGTTAACAATTTGTCGTGGGCTATGGTCCGGTACTGTTGTCGGTTTTGAATCTGTTTAGTAGCGCCAGTTTTTGGCTTTTCCTTTTTCTAAATTTTTAGGTTCGGAATGTAAACAAACGTGCAGGTGAGGGGGTCTGGTAGGCGCGCGTGCTTTTGCTGGCAGTATTGTCCAACTATTGATAGAGGTACGGTGGAGGGCTAGTGGTGAACGCGGTATAGAAAAACGTTTAAAAAGAGGTTTGTTGGTAAACAAAGAAACTTTTGGCTTGCTAATACCATGTTTTGTTGTAGTATTCCTGCAGAGAGCTGTGGCAGCAACACACTGCAGAGATCAGCGGCAGAGGCCAAACAAAAACAAAACAAATACACGACCAGGGTCGCGCGAATGTAAGAGAATTCTTGAGTGCATCTGAGGAGCAGCACGATTTTACCACCGCACGACCAGGCTACAGGCTTCTGTACTGCTGGATCGGGCGCAAAGGAACCCGAGAGCTGCGAGCGACATTCACTATGGACCAGGGGGTGGCCTAACTAAGAATCCGTGCACCAATACTGATCGTCAGAGGATAGTTTGAAGCAAATACGATGCTAACCCAGATTCACCGTGTCGCAAGCAAGCCGTCACTGTATATTCCCGTGTGAGTGGTGTAGGATTTTCGAAAAGCTGGATGGGTGGACTTTGTTTTCTATTGACGCAAGGCGAACATGAAATTCGACTAGAGCTTTAGGATTGGCAGCACTTGCACGTGTTTTTTAGGGCTACGATGCGGTGCGTTAATCTCAGAAAGGAGATAAGGCATATAACTTGGCGTGTACATAGTGTTTTGGGGCACGAGATCAGCGCAATGCTGAATACAAATTGGAGACCTATGGTTTTATGGATTACCGTTCTACGAAGGAATATCTGCCTGTGAGGGTATCCAAGCTTACGCATATCCCTTGTAATTTACCCCTCAGGTAACATGTCTTGTAGCGCACCGATGCGTGTATTCGGTTTTCACCGGCACTGTAAGTTACCTTTGAAGCCTGGACCATTAACACGTATTTGGCTTAATCTCGGGCAATGCCTTAGTATACATACGGAAAAGCCCATTCGGGTCGAGTTGCCAGGTGACGATGCCCGACGGATACATTTCCGTCTGTTCTACGCAGGTGCTGTTAAGGTTTTTGCACTCCGAAGATCCCGTCTATGCCTTGTCCCAGATCTGAAACTAGATAGCTCACGTTGTTATGCATGCTGTGTACCAGGAGGCCTAATCGGGGACCAAATCGGGGACCTTTGACAAAAAAGTGTCAGGACTGTGGTTTCTACAGTCCCAACACAAATACGCAATTGAAAAGCAAGGGATGTGCCACTAATAACCACTGTGTGTTTACAGAACCATGTAGAAACTCTGCGAAAGCTTATCAAATATGCTTTTTACATCCCGGACTCAGCATGGTTAAAGCGAGGGCAGGAACGGCGCAGACGAGAATCATTAGCGACAGGAATAATACTTATGCTCAGAAAATTTTTATTTGTTAGTATTTTGCCTATCACTCAGCTACCGATTGTCACCTGTATCTACATTTTCCCCGCATCCCCTTCCTAAAGAAGCCATATATACTGCGAAACCCGGCGATCCCGATCTGCCGCACTGCCATTCGCTAGAACCAACGGCAAGGAGCTAAATATATGTGGTGGGAAATACGAGTAGAAGGACGTGTGAATGCTACATAATGCAATGAGTAGATGCTAATAAAGGGTGCGTGGATGGATAACTGGTAATAAACTGCCATAATATGTATGTAGGGTCGCCATCTGTACACAAAGGCCCTGCACATTAGCCGGAAAAATATCGAAATTCAAAACAAGCGCGCCTTAACCTGTAACAAAGTGATCTGTGGCTTCCATCGATCAAGGTACCACCACAACCGATCTGCTTACTGGTGATCACTAATGTCTCATCCGGAATCTATTGCCGAGGAACCTGAACACCGCAAGGTCTCTGTCCGCAACGATTCCCTCAACTTGAACATCCAGAGCTATATGGACAAAATAAACATCGGAGACTCCATGCGGAACATGTCACACAGCAGACCCGAAACCAGCCGAACTGACGAAGATACCGAGGGTACAGCTCTCAGTGAGCCAGCCAAGCGGAGTCACCACAGTCTTAGCGGGAGATTCGAAGACATCGCAGAGGAAGAGCCTGGCGACGGTTCGTTCTATATCTCTCATTCGAGCAATATAGCTGCTCAGCCCCAATCTACGTTGCCATTCAGCCTTAACCCACAGGAGCTCCACAGCTTGACGTCACAATTCTCTGAATGGACCTTATCATCCGAAGAGTCCGTGCAAAGGCAAGGTCCCGACAGAGAGCATCGTGGGCTCAGAAGCAGCGATATTGAGAACCATGGCCCCAGCGACCATGAAATTAGAGAAGGAGACGATGACCCTAGTGACACCCATGCTAGTGGAGGGCCGAGTGCCGACAACAGCCCTCTCAGCAAACAAAACACATCCGACAACGCCCTGTTGCATGAAAAAAATCCCAGTTTCGTGCCTGGAACACCTTTCTCGCACCAACTAATGAACCCCAAGCGGGAACCGACCAAGCCGTACGTGGAGAACGAGTATTTTGACAGTCCAAGCAATGTTTTGAGGGATACTCGGAACCTCGAGACCACCCCACTTGTTCATTCTCCAGAGGCAGGGAAGGAGAATGGAACTCCTTCTTGGATGCCCCCCGCCTTGAGGGATGAGTGGATTCCGCAAGAAACGGCACAATTGAGCGGATCAAACGCTGCATCGACGAAGAACCCTGTTGACTCGGCTGGGACAAACTTGGGGACGGTGGTACACGCTTCAGATAAGGTCGAGACGCCAAACTGGAAGAGATTGGCGAATCAATTGGAAGAGCAAAAGCGCAACCAACCGGTCCCGTTATTGAAGCTGATTTTTTTGCCCATAGACTCTTCTAAGAGCGAGAAAGCGTCTCAGCCCCCACCCAGTCACTGTGATCCCCAGAACAGCTATGATACCCAGAGCAACCATGACCCCCAGAACAGCTATGATACCCAAAGTAGCCATGACATCCAAAGCAGTCATGACACCCAAAGCAACCGCAGGGAAACTACCCCTCCTAGTAATGAAGTTGCCGACTCCACCCCCAGACAAGCGTCTCCTCTCAAACTCTTTGGCAACAAGTACAACACATTCACCAAGGACAAATTATCGAACTTGCTCGACAACTTGCGACTGGATCCTTCTGCAATCTCTAAGAACGACCGAGAGGCCCTAGCGCTTGTGCTCGACCAGCACCAAGAGGAGCTAGAGGAGGAAGCAGCTCCTAGTACCGCATCTCATCTGTCTCTCCGCGGTGTGGATTCAACGGAAATGATCTTCCAGAAAGATGCGGCAGATATGTTTGAGAGACTCAAGTTGGGATATATCGCCCCAGAGGTAACCACCGCACACACTATGGGCTCTGGCGGTGAATCGGCAAAATATCCCGAACCCCGACATGGGTTGACAAGCAGGCCCTCCTACGACATTGGAATCGCGTCAGTAAGCCAGACCTACACCCAGAATCACCACCTAGACAGCGTGCGACAGAAGGGGAGCAATTCATCGAGCTTGAGACAGGTTCCAGAACTTGATGAGTATGGAACGTCGCTCACATTTTCCGATATGCAATCGGGTAAGGACGGGGAGCCCAACTCCTCGCGTACGATCAGCTACATGCGAAACGACTTTGTGAATGGCGACGCTGAATTCAATGGGTCGGAGTACACATCCGATGGCGACTTTGAAATAGCGCAGTCCACGGGGTTGGGTTCTTCGATGGTGGAGGAACAACCCTCTTTATCACTGCCGATGCGGTACTCATCGGTCATTCATTCTAAGCCAGCGACTCTAGGAGACTATCCGTATGAGCGCAAGTCCTCTGCTGGGTTCATCATCGAGGAAGAATCAGAAGGCGAAGAGGATGAGTCTGATGCTTATTCTGAGACGGGGAACCTCACGGGCGATGTTTCCCGCATCCAAACCCCGCACATTAAACGGCCATATCTGTTTCCCGATGCTGACCCACCAAGCCAGACCCGTACCCAGCTAAAGGGGTTTATCCCCCAGGATACAGCACTCCCTCAAACCTACAATGATATGGTTTACGACGTGCGAGACAAGAAGTGGTCACGGAAGCGAGGCCAGGCCACTGCAAGTGAAGATGAGCAAATGAGTGGCAGTTTGGATCACTTGAGCACAATTCATAACGGGTACCAGCCGGAGAGTGATGCCGTGAACCCTTCTACTCCAGAGAAGGTCAAGACTCCTAATAAGAGGGGATTGCTTCGGGATGACATTCATGGCAGCATTTTAAAGACAGAACGCCATTTGCGGACGAGAAACTCTAACAGCGAGTTGAACATGTCCAAGATGGAAGTGTCATTTGCCGTGCCGCATGATTCCAGTTTGGATGCGGAATCACTCCTATCTCCTCCGCGAAAAACAGCGCCCAGATCTGGCTCCCTACTTGACTACAGCTCAGCCAAGATCACCAAAGTGGGAAACGTGTCTTCAGCGGCAAACATCACCCAGGTGTCGCAGCTCAATGATGTCACGTTTTCCCAGACCAGAAAGAATCTTGTCCATACGATCACCGAGTGCCTTTCCCACATTCCTAACTTTGAGGCGCTTGACTGGGACACCTTACGGGAGATTGATATGTCGGGCCATGAGTTGGATAGTCTCAAGGATTTGTCCAAGTTTTTGCCCCTGTTGCAACATATTAGTGTCTCTCGCAACGCCATCAAGTTTTTCAAAGGCATCCCTCGTGGCGTGTTGACTATCGTTGCTCGTGAGAATGCGATTGAAAATATCAGTTCCTTCCATGAGTTCCACGACTTACAAGCGTTGGACTTGTCGAGCAACAAACTTTCCAGGTTAAACAACATCCAGCACTTGATTCATTTACGGGAGTTGACGGTAACAGGTAACCGCCTTGACTCCATTGATGGTTTGCAAAACCTATCCAATTTGGCCAGGTTGAATCTTTCCAACAACAACTTATCCGGAACCATCGACTTTACAGGGTATCATTTGCATACGCTACAGGAGGTGAGTTTGGCGGAAAACTCGATCACGGAGATCAGGGGGATCCGTGACTTGCCTGAATTGAGAATTCTTAACCTCGATGAAAACTTGCTAGCCGAGTTCGGCATTGACCTAGAGTCCAGCTGCGCCCAGTTGAAAAAGTTGCTGGTGAAGTTTAACAAGATCCGTGTGTTGAACCTCGAAGTCATTCCTGCAATTAGAGTCCTCCGAATTGACGGGAATAGCATTAGATCTCTCGGAGAGAATTTCCGTACCCTGTCTCACGTCAAACTCCATTACATCGAGGAAATCTCCGCCAAGTGCCAGTCGCCCGCGGTCCTTCAATCATTGCTCTTGTACAAGGATGTCTCCAAGTTGGACTTGTCGGGAAACATCACAAACTACAGCACCGGCCAAACCTCCAGCACCATCGGCCTTTTTGATATGGGGAAGCTCCCAAGAGACTGCTATTTGAATGTCACCACGTTGAACTTGTCAGCTATGAATTTAACCCGGTTGCCTCATATTTTCAGCACCCAATTTCCCAACGTGCGTGAGTTGAACTTGAATTACAACCAGCTAAGCGACCTCTTACCCTTGGCCGGGTGCAAACGTTTGGCGAGGTTGTGCCTTGTCAGCAACGATCTCACGTACTGCGAGCCTTTGGTCAAAGCCCTCTCTGGTTCCCGCAAGACCCTTCGTGTGTTGGATTTGAGACTCAATCCGATCAATGGTGGATATTACCCGTACGTGTTTAACCCCAGAGAAGACGAATCCCGAGTCGATGAGACAATCCAGAACTACAGAGCCCGGTCCGGCGACAAACGTCACAGCCGCACTTCCAAAAGCCCTGGTACTCCGTTGATCACCCTCAACACCGTCGACGACATTGAGAGTTTTTCCATTCTATACGATACCATGATGAAGCCTGACGGAAGGCGTGACTGGAACGAACGTGATCTTGAATACAGCCGGGTGTTGCGGTCCAAGGACTACGCAACTTGGTCCAAAAGACAGGCGTACGAGACGTTGTTCGTTAACCTTTTGAAAGGCATGCAAGATTTTGATGCGATAAGGGTGGACAGGGGTAAGCGCAAAGACTTGGAAGCCCAGTTTCGTAGACGGAGTAGGTGATGGCCCGAAGATTTAAAGTTTGATATAGAAGTTTTGAATAGTGCCTTGTAGGTAATACAAATCCCAAGTCTCGAGGGCAGTGAGTAAAGCCAAATATATGTCGTGGACATTATTCTAGCCAGGGTGATACACGCTTGCCTCCTTATACAAGCCATCACGCCTCGCTTCAATTGGAAGTTAATTAGATCAAATCTATTGATTTAAAATACAAAAAAATAATCCTGCCGGTCCCAGGAATCGAACTTGGGTTTCCTCTGCCACAAAGAGGTGTACTGACCACTATACTAGACCGGCTATTTGTTTATTGAAAACGAAGCAATAAGGGTAGCACTGGGTTGAGGAAAAATGCGGCATTCAGCACCAACGTTAACGTAGAAAGCTCGTCCAAAAGAGGGAGTTTCGGTTCTTATACAGTGAAGAATCGACTAATAATGAACTTTCTCGGAAAAGGCACCGGTTAGGCAAGATGACGTACAAAGTGCTGAGTTAGTTAATAGGACCCTCAGTCTTAACCGTGCCATTGAATTTATATGGAGTCGATCCTAGGCAGTAGGTTGTACCGTTCTTTTTTTTTTAGTGGTCAACCGCCTTTTTGTACTAGTAGCAGGCCCATACCATCGGGTGTAAGGTGCAAGCTAACAGATCTTAGATGAGACAAATTTTTACCAGCCAACTTTCGAATGATTTTTATCCTAATAGAATGCAGGTAGACCCTGGCACAGGTTGATTCCCCAAAGGCTCCATTTTTAGCACTATTTCCTTACTATAACACCTTTTCAGAGTCAGAAATTTCCTAGCTCACCGGTGTTGCTTTTCCCATGGAACACGCTTGGTCGTTGTACCCTAGTCGGCGATGGAACTTGTCGGAAAAAGCAGCGCTACCTCGGAGTTGAAGGTGCATGGCGCATGCCGGCGCATAGTTCTCCCACAAAAAATGACACCGAAAATATCTCGGAGTACGGGCTTCCTTTGCGTGAGGGGCAGATGTTCCCCGAGCGTTATTACGCAGGACAGCACCACCGCACCAGTGACTATACATAAAAGACTATATTATAAACCGGTAGAGGAGAATCGTTAATGGATTCCTTCGGCAGGTTAACATTATTCTTCGTTTCTGGGGCCCTGGGGTTGTCCGGATCGCTGCCGTTCTGATTAGTTTTTCCGGGAGGGGTATCAGGCGGCGCTTGCCGATGCGGAATGCGAGATTGAGGCGGAAATTACCCGCAGACTGATTGTGAAAGAGGGGAGAAAATATAAGTGGAACAGAGGAGTTCGTGTTTGAGAGGCCACAACCAACGAGTCAACTGTTAAGTTGAACCGTTAAAGATTAGCCATCTACAAACAACAAACTTAATATCGCTTTTATAAAACTACCTTATGGGGACTGTACTGTAAGTTTCTACCCTCATGCGTCCGTTGATAGCGAGAGAAGGGTAATTTATAGAAACGTGAGTAGTGGCACGATGGCTATATCCCACAAGTGGGTGTGGTAAATTACGGAAACCCCAGCACGTTGAAGAGTGAAAAGCCTAAACTCTATCATCAGCTGATGCCGTTACCAGCAGGCCCTCTAGTCGTCCAATCACGTTGTACCAAAGACTCCCCCCCCCCCTCCATTCATGGAATCCTGATCACTCTACGACACAAAATTACAGTCTATTGTATCCAATAAGTCGTTGATGCCCAAATTTCCATTGGCCCATTAATTTTTCTCCAATTCGCGATAAGTTAAAGGCTTCGGACTCAAAGGTGGACAGACAAAACCCCTGTAACCATGCGTCGGAACAGCGTCTAGTATCCTGTGTCGACCCCTTTGGGTCAATCGCAGTTGCGGTGCAGGACACCAGTAGACCAAAAGTCCGGCAATGAGGATTCCGGCCTGCGGATTTTTCGTTGCTAAAGTATAAAAGAACATGCATCTCCCTACCTCCATGTTTCATCCGCTTTTTATACGTAACACAAACTTTACATACGTACAATGTCAGACTCTAAATTAGGTTGGTTAGTCCTGTTGGACCTCACTGAGACCCCAGACCACGTCTTAAGACGTTCCTCCATCATCGGTACTATCGGTCCTAAGACCAACGACCCGGAAGTGTTGGTTGCGTTGAGAAAGGCCGGGATGAACATTGTCAGAATGAACTTCTCCCACGGTTCCTATGAGTACCACCAGTCTGTGGTGGACAATGCCAGAAAGTCTGAAGCAATCTACCCGGGCAGACCATTGGCCATTGCCTTGGATACCAAGGGACCAGAAATCAGAACCGGTACCACCGTTGGAGAGAAGGATTTCCCAATTTCCGCTGGCCACGAAATGACCTTCACCACTGATGAGGCCTATGCCAAGCAGTGTACCGACCAGATCATGTATATCGACTACAAGAACATTACCAAGGTGATTTCTACGGGCAGAATCATCTACATCGACGATGGTGTGTTGTCGTTTGAGGTTTTGGAGATTACAGACGCCTCCACCTTGAAAGTGAGATCGGTCAACGCCGGTAGGATCAGCTCCCACAAGGGTGTCAACTTGCCAAACACTGACGTCGACTTGCCAGCGTTGTCTGACAAGGACAAGGCTGACTTGAGATTCGGTGTCAAGAACAACGTCAACATGGTGTTTGCTTCCTTCATCAGATCTGGTGACGACATCAAGGCCATCAGAGAGGTGTTGGGCGAGGACGGCAGAGAGATCCAGATCATTGCCAAGATTGAGAACCAGCAGGGTGTCAACAACTTTGACGAGATCTTGAGAGAGACCGATGGTGTTATGGTGGCCCGTGGTGACTTAGGGATTGAAATCCCAGCGCCACAGGTGTTCATGGTCCAGAAGCAGTTGATTGCCAAGTGTAACTTGGCTGGTAAACCAGTCATCTGTGCTACTCAGATGTTGGAGTCCATGACCTACAACCCTAGACCAACCAGAGCCGAGGTCTCCGATGTCGGTAACGCCATTTTGGACGGTGCTGACTGTGTCATGTTGTCCGGTGAAACCGCCAAGGGTGACTACCCAGTCGAAGCTGTCACCATGATGAGCAACACCGCGTTGATTGCTGAAAGAGCGATTCCGTACGTGCCGTTCTTCAACGAAGTCAAGAGCTTGACCTCCAAGCCAACCGAAACCGTCGAAACCGTTGCCATGTCCGCCGTCTCTGCCGCATTCGAGCAGTCCGCCAAGGCCATTGTCGTCTTGTCCACCTCCGGTACCTCCGCTAGATTGTGCTCTAAGTACAGACCAGATATCCCAATCATCATGATCACCAGAAACAAGAGAGCCGCCAGATTCGCCCATTTGTACAGAGGTGTCTATCCGTTCATCTACGAGGGTGAAAAGTGCGGTGACGACTGGCAGCAGGACGTCGAAAACAGATTGCAAGCCGGTATCCACAGCGCTGTCGAGCACGGGATCTTGAACAAGGGCGACACCATCGTTGCCATCCAGGGGTGGACCTCCGGTCTCGGCCACACCAACACCATGAGAGTCTTGTCCGCTTAAGCTCTATGTATATTTAATCAACCTGTAAACAAAAGCACCTTAGGTGATGGGTTAATGCCTGTTAAAGGGATATATTTATGGCTAATCTCGTAGGCAGGAAAGTTCCTGTGTTAGTATGTCGAGGACTGCCTTACGTCTGAGGTGGATGCATCTATAGACTGGAGATTAGGAAATAGACACCATTTGGTATCGATTGAAGTTTAGATAGCGATTCCATTTATCGTTACTGGAGGTGGAATGAACTAATCGTGAAAAGTTAGTCTGTATGCGTAACTACCGTATTTATCTCCGGCCCTGCCCCAGCATTTCCTCTCTAAAGGTACGGTCCCTCAATTTTATATTATACCTTACTCTTTTTTTTCAACCTTTTATTTGTCCTGACCCGCACAACTTATTTTATAGGAACCACTGCAGGCTACTTTAATGCCAACGCTATTGTTGTTAATGGTACAGGCAGGTCCACTGGTCTATCCCAATTAAGCCCCAATATTCAGAATTTGCATCAATTTCCTAAACATCTACGACTGAAACAAATCCATACCGTTTTCCCAGCCCTTCCCCATCACATGCTCTTGGTCAGCTCAACCTCCACTCATACATCCTGCACAGACGGTGAAAATTTGGAATACCCTATACTATAACTACATACACCCAGCACAACTCACCTGATTTAGGTATAATTTCTACATCTGCAATGGCAAAGAAAGACAAAAAGGGCGGAAAGGATGCCAAAAAAGCGCGTACCGCAGAAAAGAATGCCAAGGCACAAGCCAAATCGGAGGTGAAGAACAAGAAGCTCGGCAAGAAGCATGGGTTGGAGGAGGAGGAGGACGTGGACATTGACGAGCTTTTGAAGCAGTACGCAGACCAACAGGAGTCATTTGAAGCGATCCAGATCACTACATGCAAGCCGCCGTCGAAGCGTCTCAACGCGGCCATGGCCGCCTCGCCAACACACGGAAAGAGGGAGTTGTTTCTCTTCGGCGGTGAGTCCACCAATGGGTCCATGGCGGTGTTCTACAACGACTTATTCCAGTACTCGGTGGATTCCGATACCTGGCGAAAGATCGTTTCCAAGAATTCGCCGTTGCCGCGGTCTGGACACGCGATGGGCGTGCACCCCTCCGGTGTGATTGTGATGTTTGGTGGGGAATTCAGTTCGCCAAAGCAGTCCACCTTCTATCACTACGGTGACACATGGATCTTGGACGCAGCTTCCAAGCAATGGACGAAGATAGAGATCAAGAAGGGTCCGAGCGCGAGATCCGGGCACCGTATGGTGGCCTGGAAGAATTATATCATTCTCCATGGTGGGTTCCGAGACTTGGCGGCGTCCACCACGTACTTGGACGACTTCTGGGTGTTTGATATCACCACCTACAAGTGGCAGCAGGTGGAGTTTCCGCCGAACCACCCAATTCCCGATGCCAGATCCGGACACTCCTTTATTCCGTGCGCGGATGGTGGTGTGCTTTGGGGTGGCTACTGCAAAGTCAAGGCCGGGAAGGGTTTGCAGAAGGGGAAGGTGTTGACCGACTGCTGGTTGTTGAAGATGAAGGCAGACACCAAGCAGATCCGCTGGGAGAGAAGAAAGAAGCAGGGGTTTCAGCCGTCGCCGCGTGTGGGGTGCTCCATGGTGCCGCACAAGGGGCGTGGGGTGATGTTCGGTGGGGTGTACGATTTTGAAGAAACCGAAGAATCCTTAGCGTCCGAGTTTTATAACACGTTGCTCACATACCAGACAGAGACGAACAGATGGTACTCGCTCACATTGAGACCGCAGCGCAAGAAGCAGAAGGCGGCGGTCAAGGAGAAGTCGCGTGATGAAGACTTGGAGGACTTGTTGAACTCTATTTTGTCCAAGGCCAGTTTGAATGATGATGATGACGACGACGATGAGGTTGACGCTGAGATTGCTGCCCAGTTGGCCAAGGCGGAGGAGAGCGAGGACGAGGCCCCAGACAAGAAGGAGTACCCGATGGATGGCAGACTCCCGCACCCACGTTTCAACGCCACCACGTGTGTCGTAGACGACACGTTGTACATCTTTGGCGGTGTCTGGGAATGCGGTGACCAGGAGTTCAACATCGACTCGATGTATGCGATTGATTTGGGCAAGTTGGACGGTGTCAAGGTATTCTGGGAGGACTTGTCCGAGGTAGAGAACGCAGTTGAGGGGTCAGATGAGGATGAGGATGATGACAGCGACGACGACAGCGATGACGAGGAGCCAGAAAGTCAGTTGTTGGTCGCCGAAGAGGAGGAAGAAGAAGAGCCAGAGGATGAAACGGAGCCTGAGATTCCCGATATCAGACCATGGTTGCCGCATCCAAAGGCGTTCGAGTCCTTGCGTGGCTTCTACGTGCGTACCGGGGCCAACTTTTTGGAGTGGGCCATCTTCTCTAACAGGGAAGCTAGAGGCAAGCACTTGAAGAAGGCCGCCTTTGACATGTGTGAAGGTCGTTATTGGGAGAGAAGAGAGCAGGTGCGTATCACTGAGGACGAATTGGAGGAGTTGGGTGGTGTTGGTGAGATTGTCGAGAAGGACCCGGCCAAGGCGGGATCTAAGAGGAGGTAAACAATGTGATTAATAGATTTGATATTCAGGACAAGATGGCTGGCGGTGAAGCTGCAAGAGAATTGTAGGATAGCTTACGATAGGGGCTAAGCATCGAGGAAATTGTAAGGCCCGAGTAAGGTGTTACGTTTACCGCTAACATTAAGCGGCATGTTTTAGTGATTAGGAACAATACTATCAAAGTATTGACCACGAAAGTAGCCTGCTATATCAGTGCATATGGATACTAAACCCTCGAATAAGAATCGTATTAGCTGGGCTCGACAACTACGCTTAGTCCTTAGTTGAAAAATGCAGATTAGAGTGTCACTAGACACATACAAGAAGAAGAAACCCATACACCAGAAAAAATAACAAAAAACTAAGCGAAGTGGATACCAACCTGGTGGAACGCATACAACAACTTCATATAGTCGGTCTGGTCCAACTTGGCAGATCTTTTCTCCGCAAAACCGGTGTCGGTCAACACTCTGTCAATCTTGTCTTTGACAATCTTGGACAATGCGGCATTGTCTTCAGTCATCATGGCGTCTTCCTGGGCGGCCAAATACGCCTTGTAGTTGTTTTCCAAGATTTCCAAGATCTTGGAAGACTTGAAGCCCGCGGCAACGGTTCTGTTCTTACGAACAAACAAGATGCGCAACAAGCCATCCCACTCATTGAAATCAATGTTTGGTCTAGGGTTCTTGATTTCAATCTTGACAACGGAGGATTCAACCTTCGGAGGGGGTCTGAAGTTGTTCTTCCCAACTTTCATGATGTGAGTGACATTGGCCCACATCTGCACGTTGGCGGAGAGACGGCAGTACAACTCGTCACCCGGTCTAGCGACCAATCTCAAGGCAAACTCTCGTTGGAACATGAGAATCGACACTCTTGGGGGTCTAGGCTGGTTGATCAATTTGAACACCAATGGGGAGGAAATCTGGTACGGGGTGTTGGAAATGCAGATGTCAAAATACGGCAATTCTGCCTTCATGAAATCACCCAAAATAATCTCCAACTTCTTTTCCTGTGGGGTTCCTCTGACTCTCTTGGTCAACTCTGCAGCCATTCTGGGATCCATTTCCGACGCAACAACCTTACGTGCCTGCTCCAAAATACGCACCGTCAAGTTACCGGTACCCGGACCAACTTCTAGCACAATATCAGATGGCTTGATGTTAGCCTTGTCAACAATACCCTGTGCGATCAACGGGTTCTTCAAGATATGCTGCCCAAGGTCTGTGTTGAACTTAAACACAGAGGTCAAGTGCTTCTCGGCAGCCACTTGGTTGGTGGAGGGGGTTGTGGAAAAGTTCTTTCTAGCAGCCTTGCCCATTTTGGTATAGCTTGTTATGTAATGGATAGACGGATCTGGTGTGATGATTTGAAACTTTTCACTGATAAACTTTTTTTTCCCTTCCTCATCGCAGGGGCTCGCAACCCTTATGTATGCATATATGGGCTGTAGCTTTTATGCGCAACTGGCAGTCATAGCTGAATCACCTCATACGTATTATGAACCCATACGACAAAACCAATAAGCCACCGGTGCCATTAGAACTTCAGAAGAGAGCCAAGGGCCTTAAGCTCATAATGTTTGGCCTTCCTGTGTTCATCATCTCGTCGTACGTGCTCTTTGAGCGCAAGGTCATGGGCAAGGAGAGAAGGGTGCAGACCGGGGAAATGATGCCTGACGGAACCATCAGAGAGTTTGAGGCGTGGGAAATCAAAGAGAAGGACAGAAATGTCCTCACCAAAATTTTTGGCAGATCGTGAGCCTGTGGTGGCCCAACTGTACATAGCGTTTCAGAACAGAGCGCCGAATACCCCCGGTTTCCTCTATGGTCCGCAAGACAAGACTTGTGTCAAAGATTTCTATGACATAAAAATAGATGATAATTAAGCATGAAAGGTAGGTAATTTTGTACGAATAAATCCAAAATGGGAGAGCCCGTGCGGTGGGTAACAATCAGAGCTAACAACGAACCGTTCTGGTGATTTCGAGCCACTTTCGTGAGGCTTTACCTACAACTGTCTTTTTACCTGAGCTATGTCTCAGCCTGGACTCCGCAACTTACTTTATATCTTGACTATATCTAGTCATAGGAGCACTGCGTGTGTTTGCCAGTTGAAATGGCCCCTTCCAAAGGTAAGGTCGGATCCGGCTCTACTGTTTCGGATAGAAAACGGGTTATATTCAATGTCTACCTATACGATCTATTCACTTTCTTCTAGGCCCCTTTGGCTTGTTGAATTTCAACCTGTTGCTGTTTGCGTCGCTCTTTTGCTCGCTGAGCTCAAACTCGCTCACCTCCAACTCGCTGATGTCACCAACCTCAACCTCCTTATCGACATTCAAGCCAAAGGTTGGTCCCTTCAAAGTGTTAATAAGGCCCAACTTGTTGGATGCGTAAAGCATTCTCAGCTTCACCTTGCTACCAGAGGGACATGAGTATATAAACGCATACCTGTCTTGCGCGTAGTGGTACAACGAGTACTGAGGTTGTTCCGGAAAGTTGATCTCCGAGAGAAGGTCCGAGTGACCAGCGACGGTTGCCACACTGGTGACCTTGACGGTTTCGTTGGAAGTAATCCCTAAGTTGATCAAAGAGCCCACGGCAGAGGTGCCTGCGATCTCCTGCTGCGCCTCTGGGGTGAGCTGAAAGCTAAGCACACCCGAAGAAGAGCCACTGGATACATCAGCCAACTTCTGGGGCTTGTTGCTAATCAAGTAGCTCAATTCATCGTTCTTGATCTTCTGCAAGCTTTGTTCCTGCTCGCTCAAGGGAGTCTCCGACCGCTCGTGCTTGACAATAGTTTTCCAGTTAGCCAAGCTCAATTCGTCGAAATCGGTGATGAAAATGGAGCTGGTCAACTTGATCGATGCAGATAACTCCTTGAGCAAGGTGGACTTGGTCGAAGCGTAGATCATCTTTAATCTAACCGTGGCATAGTCAGGCACGTATGATACGAACGTGTAGCTCTTATCGGCAGCTGAATTGTCATTTTGGAGGATAATGTAGGCGGGCTCGTTTTCGATTCCGCTATGCTGTAACAAAGACTGAAGGGTCTCGAAGTCTTCGTGGGTCAAGTGCGACGCAATACCGGAGATGATCTCAAACGGGGTGATTTGAGTCAATGTATCGTCAATCTTTATGACAAAGCATTTAGCATCTTGCTCGAGGAATTGGTGAAATTTGGCTAAAAGCTGAGGAGAAGCGGTAATACCTGATTGCGCTGACATTTTATGTTGATTATTCAATGGTACTCCACCTTTTGTAGTATCGTATCGGAGATATACAGGGGGATGCTCTGGGTAAATGCACTACCAAATCCCCCTACTATAGTTCATCTGCCTCGAAAACTACTGTTTAACGGAGGTTGCAACGGCACGAAGCATTACATTATCGGTTAATTCGTAAAGTGGTTTGGTTGTGTATTCGTATAGACCATTCTATTAACGGAGACGCCACGTTAGGTTGCTAGCTTATATATCGGCATTGCCCAACACGGGGCCATCCTAGGCAGAGTGCTTAGGCGAATTCAGAGAGTGGCTTGGTCTCACTAGTGGCGGCACCGTTCTTGAAGGTGACAACCTTGGCGTCAGAGAGACCTCTCTTTTCAGCGGCAACTTTCAAGTTTGGCTTCAAAGCGGAGCGGGTGATCTTGGCAGAGATGCTCAAGTACTTGTTGAAACTGGTGGGTTAGTATTTCACTCACAGACAGACCGTATCGGGCAAACGGTACTTACGAGAAACCAGCTTTTTTCCAGGCAGACATTATGGTAGAGTAGTGTTAACGAATAAACTGGGAAACCAAGCTCGGAGTGATAACCGCTGATATCAGCGACTGCCTTTTTTGAACCGCGATTGTTAGCTAGGAAAATCAGACTACACAGGATTCGTCGGGGCTACCGCTCGTGCCTGAAATTACCCGGAGGCGTGCGCCGCAAAAGGGTCCAAACCGGTAGTTAACAACACGTATTTCCCTATTTGGTTCAAGTGACCGAACCGAATTCTGGCCTTGGCTCTATGTATATAAGCAGGTTAAGGGATATATTAAAATATTCCATTGGAGGGTGGGGACCTGGAAGCTCTAATAAAGGGATGATAGGAGCGAGAAGGGTTACGTCTGGCCAGCTATTTTCTAGACAAACTGTTACGCTGGATATGGATTGTCTATATGAGCACCACGAATATTATGACAGTAGAAATACAATAAAGATAAATAGCACAGTATGAGATAAAGCAAGAAACCCCCCGGTTATGTATTTAACCCAACAAAATATACTGCAAAATGTCACTCAAAGTCACCACTCCCTTCAAGAATCCTTGATCGTCCACCACGAACAATCTGTGTACTCTGTTCTTCTTGATGATTTCCAAAATTGTGGACAATTTATCATTCAATGTACACGTGAACACCCCTTCAAAGTCTTCCGGTCTCTTCAATAATGCTTCCCCCACGCTCAAAGACAAATCGTTGTAAATGCCGCCCTTGATCAATGCCAAGACGTCAATACCCTCGTAAACATTGATTAAAGTCCCTTGGGATCCGTCCTGGGTTTCGCTTAAAATTGGAACCGAGGAGACGTTTCGGGACGTTAACAAGTGGATCACATCCATGACAGGGGTGCTCATCGACACCGTCGACAACCCTTCGTAGGTGCCAATATTCAACTCTTTCAAAGGAATGTTTAGTCTCGTGATTTCCTTGCAATTAAGCGACACAAACTTCAAGATTCTGTACTGGGTCAACACGGACACGACAATTTCTCTCTGCGTCTTCAAGTCCTTGTCAACCAAGGGGATTCTTCTGGCCTTTGAGCTAATCATCTTCAAGCATGCATCGTATAAGGACTTGAAAGGATGGATCGAGGCGGTTTCCATAGGAGCAACTCCGATGGCGCGTTCTATGTCCCTCAATCCATCAAGGGTCAAGGACTCAACCAAATCCATTTTGGTGGGGAACTGGAAGTAGTATTGGATGACGTTAATAAAATCAGTGGAGGTCAACAACCCGGCAAACTTGGACTTGGTGGAGTTCCACAACGGCGCCGACACAACGTTATTTTGTAACAAGATGTTCAACGACTTTTTGACCAAAAGCGATGTGTCCAACACGATCAACCTATATGACACAGGCAACACATCGTAAGAGGTTTTGGATTTGATAAACTGGCGCATGCTTTCGAGGGCAGCCTGCTGTTCCTGCTGCACTTCAATGGACGTAGGTTCGGACATGACTACTGTGGTGTGGCGAGGGGGGGGGGGGTTAAAGTGGTCTGACGGGAAATACGGTTGCTCTAGGGACAGCTCAGAAGAAGTACGGAACCTTTTGGGTGATATAGGTTGTAGCAATAATTCTCAGACGAAAATGAACTGGTTGATGTCAGTAAGGCGTGGGCAAAAGCAGTGAGGACCGTGGCTGTAGATAGCGTATACCGTCACTTCCTTCAACCACGTATTGGTAGGCTTCTTGTGTGGTCAAGCCACGACAAAGGCGTGCAGTACCTAGTAATCACGTGATAATACCGGAATCAGCCCTCATGGAAAATCTCTGTTGGCACCACTCGTAAGGCACATCGTGGTGTGCGGGTAACTGCACGGGAAGCCTCCAAAAAATACTATAAAAGGACCTCGATCCCCGCCAGATTGGTGCCCAATCTTTTTCTTCTTTTCGCTCCTTAAATCTCTTTGCCTTCTGGCTTAGATCAAGTGTAGTATCTGTTCTTTTCAGTGTAACAACTGAAATTCCATCAATGATGGTCTTTTAACTTATTTTGTTACTTTTATTTTTGGCCATATCGTAACTACCTTTTCCTTGGGCTTGCTCAAGGGGGTAGTCGCACAGTGTCGTTGCCATTGCACACCCCGGCTTCTGACGCGAATCTTTTTTAGGTCATATACAGTGAGTTCACTGATATGATTCAAAAGAGAGTGGAGGGTAGTGGTTTTGCCAAGCCCGTTTTTGCCATTACTGGGGAGGTGTTTTGCCTTCCAAGAGAAGTCACGTGCGGTACTTTAGTGACTGATGCAATCTTGGTTGACATACCCAGCACCATGGTCCTAAGCTCAGTACAGCGCTCTGTGTCGATCATGAACTTAATCTTTCCAGGTATCCCATGTGTTATTAAGCTCACTGGTGTGAAAAATATATGTAAGCGTTGGTTAGAGTTTACCCCTAAATGAGGCAACGTGCATATGGATCCGAGACATCAGGATAGAAAGGCACTAGTAAAGTATACCTTTACTATCAGGATCGAATAGAGGGCAATAAAGCAGACTTTTGTCAATCCACGTGTAGTTAGCTCTTCCCTCGCCCTGACTTGTACTTTACGTTTTGAGATGTCAGAACCCCCCTAGTTTGCTCAAGTTTCTACACTTCCACGGCCAAAAATAGCGCTTCTCAGGTCTGGGCAACTTTTATTCATACGAGTTGCACAAATACTATCCCTCTCGGAACACCTTCCTGTCTTTAGTAGACGTTCTATAATTAGTATCCATCCGGCGCACACCACACGCTTCTTTACCTATACATGGCCAGCGGCTTGACGCGGCCATATGGTGTTTCATTTTCATTTCGCAGGTTCAAAGAGACAGAGACGCGGGAAGAAGGCGGTCTCGGCAAACCACCATATAAAAACACTTGTCTTGCTGTAGTGGCCCCATTTGGAGCTTCTGCGGAAGAAGGTCTAGAGACCTGTTTGAACGAATAGTCAGCTGGGGGGAGTGGAGGACTAAGTGTTTTACCGCTGCTCAGTTTGACTGCAGAAGCTATAGGAACCGGAATAAAACTAAGGGCAGAGCGGGGCCTTTGGGGAAGCTTACTTCCTGTTTGTGGGCCTACCGAGGATCTCTGGCGTCGCAAATGGTTGTGGTTCCCGTCATCGCGCACCCTGTTGGAGAAGGCAAAATCGTACTCATCGGAGGAAGTTGCTGACAAGGGAGGAGATTGAGCAACCAAGCTCGGTTGGTGTATCATCGACGATAATCTCGGAATACGACTGATCCGGTTATTCGGTGATGCTCTGACAAGCGATCTCCGCTGGTTTAGGCTGCCGGAGGATGACTGTAATGGTTGTAGAGATGGCAGCAGTATTGTCAGCGGCTGGACTGGGTGGTAGGTGCCGGCACTGGCCATGAAGGGCGGAAACAAGCCTTCGGAGATCGGGTTAAGCGCCGGGGCGCGTTGCGCATTGTCACGAAAGAACAAACCGTTGGGTGATATCCGAATCTTGGACAATTTTTGGGCCAATACCTCGATTGAGGTGTCTGTCTCGTCATCGTTGAATGAGCCGTCTTGGGAATTTGAGCTTCTTCCGTACTTGACCACACTATTAGATCTGCTATTAGACATGCTATTAGACATGCTATTATCCATCTCTATCGGCGAGGTAATGTTCAGTCCCCCTTGGCCGTGGATGTTTTCGGACGAGAAGTTTACCCATATAGGCGATGCCTTGGAGTCCCTAGCTTCGGTAGGGGTGAGCACGCTCTGCTCAGGGAAAAACTTGGACATTGTTTTCGGAGACGAGTCTTCGATGAGCACAGGCTGGATCATCATCCAACTGCGTCTGTTCTTGTTCTTGATATTGATCTGAGTCGGTGACGCCTCCCCTTCTGTTTGGCCAACACGGCAGGCCATATCGAAAGACTGGAATGTACCCGGGTCAGAAACACTCCGCATATCAGGCGAGAATTCGCCGTTTGGAAGCATAGGGGATTCAGCATTCTTGGAGCCCACACGGAACATGCGCAACCCTGCCGCATTTGTATTGCTATGTTTGCGACTGGCTTCAGGGCTCTCATCTGCTGGCTGGGCATTCACTAGCTCCGCAAATTCGCGGACGGCACAGTTCCAAGACGGCAAGAGAGTGTGGTATTCCTTCTGTAAGGAGTGAACCATTTTCTGGATGGTTGGGTCGTCTACAGCGGCGATTATCTCCCCAAACACCGTGAAGGCCTGTTGGGTGATTTCCACCTTCTGCTGCATCTCACAAAGCACGTCACGGGACACACCACCGGTCAGAGCCAAAGTCTGGTTGTTTATCGTCACCTGGCCCGCTTCGCGGTCCAACTCCCGCATCATGTACCGGTATAGCTCTAGCCAGCGTTCATTGATTGTGGTCATTTCCAACATGCGTAGGTCACTGTTCAACAAGTTCCAGTTATCGAGAAACTTCGCCAATTTGTGATTAATGGCGTTCAACAGGTCGAGGTAGTGGGGCTTACTGATATCCGCAAATTCCTCAATTTTCTGCGGCAAGACGTGTACCGCGGCGTTTAAGGGGACGATTCGCTCTGGAAGGGCAAGGTACTCCTGGTAAGTTGCCTCTTCAGCTGCACTGAAGGTTGGTAGCTTGATTTTGGAGGCGAGTTTTGCGTCTGATTCGGTATGGGCTTTGTCTGTTATCGCTAGCTGAAGCTTCAGCACCACAGTGGCCAAGTCTGGGAACTGCAACCGGTCATTGAAGCGCGATTCGTGAACCCGGAAGTACAACTTGAAGCACTCTTGGATTTCGCTGTTCAATGAATCGAGCCCCGCGTAGTAGATGTCATGGAAGGCCACCGCTACAGGCAAGTCCTTCTTGAAGTTGAAAAACAAATGGTTTCGTATATCCAACGAGACCTCGCTGATGAGCTCAAACTGGTCGAGGATTTCGTTGTAGAATGTTTCGGGAATGGTTTCTTCCGTGGATTCGACAGATGCTTGGTTGTTGACTCGCAACTCAAGTAAGACTAGCAACTGGCTCACAATCTGGTCTACGGACTCGATATTCCGCAACACCTCGGCCACCTCGTCTTTTCCGTCGTACAACCAGTTGAGGTACCGCGTGTTCTCTGCTAGTCCTGCGGCCTTGCAGTACTCCACGGTCTCAAGACAGATATCGCGCACCTCATCCAAATAGTGGATAATGTCTTCCACCGTGTTGATGATCTGGAAGAGATCGTACTTCGGCTGCGCCTGGGGTGGGGCATTGGGGGTTTTGTAGGACTGTTCCAAGTGCTTTAGGTTGATAAGCTCCTGGTAAAAGGAGAACCGGGGACACGATTGGAGGATCTCAGAAAGCTTGAGCTCGACGAGCAGAGATTCGACATTGGGGAGGATCTCATGGGTTTGTGGTCCCGCTTGCGGATTCATCGAGTGGATGAATCGTAGATTTAGTTATCAATTGGGTCTCGTGTTTTTATAGAACATGTATGATCTGGAGTAGGTGCCAGGTCCCAAGGCCGATGCGCGGCGGGTGATATTCCAGAGCGTCTGAACGGCGAGGAATGAAGGATGGGCTGAAAAGGGATCGAGCCAAGTGGATCAATGAGGGGAATTCAGTCTAGATCAATGAGGGGAATTCAGTCTGGATCAACGGGTGGATTGATCAACGAATAGAGATCGAACCAATGTTCTGTTGAGCCTTGACGAAGATTAACAAAGAAAAAGGGTATGATGTGTGGATCGGCACAAATAATTTATTCCCGATATGTAAACTCTATAAGCTTGGTTGTATAGCGGTAGGGAAGAGAACTCAAAACATGCACGTATCCAATACAAAACACATGCACTGCTCCCGTTTAGGCAGTCTATTAAGACTTAGGACCACGAATATTTTTTTTTCCCGTAAGATCTTAGCCTGCGTTTGGTATTGTGGCCTGCATATTACATACTCCAGCTACCTGGTGGATTTCTGACACATCTGCCTGCCAGGCGAATGTGGGTCGGATTAGGAAAGCTTCTCAAAGGGGAAGTTATCAACAAAAGGTGATGGTTTCAGGTATATCATCAATATGAGCCTTAGTGAATACAGCGTAAACGCATCCGATATTTGAATAAACGTTTTACTCTCTCTTCCAACTCAAAATACCGAGCCCTGCGGCTGTTACGGTGACAGAAAATGCGGGGGACGAAGTGCTAACAACACTTTCGGTTAGAATAAAAACTGCGTGTACTCAGTGTCTAACAAGCGTAGGACTCGGAAGGTAATTGCCAGTATTGGCGGGTTATACAATGAGAATTGACAAATTTGCCAGTTTCTGCAAGATCCGCTTACCATGACTTACCAAAACCCGAGCCTTTTGTCAGGGTTGGAAAATTGCTGTGTATAGAGTACAGTATGAATAAAATTTGCATCCCCTTGTAATTCCATCCGAGATCTGCAGAGTCCGTTAATTGATGAACCGTGCTAATTTGCGGAGCATGCTCTGATACCCTTGGCGCGAAATACTCTCCGGTATTTTACCAGCAAATCTAGCCTTAGTTCCCACCTCTATGTAATCACCAGTCAGATATCAGGGATACCACATACATACTGGTCTCAGGCCTCATAAGTCTGCTAGGGCCTTGCTGACTGGAATCCGAACGGTGGCCATCCACAGGTTCGCAGTCCCCTGGGTCATGTGATCGAGCCTGGGTTGCAGCAGCTGCATCTGCCTCAAACCTTATACCTTTGCCTGCTAGGCGTGCCCGATCGACGTAACCTGCTGGTCATTACTCGCTCCTGCCTGTCTGTACGGGCAGTGAGTCACAACATAGGCTACTGGGTGCACGTCCCTATCTATGACGTCAGACGCGGTCTCTGACCGTGCCGTAACCTCCGATTCTCAGTCTTATGTAAATGTCGTACACAAATTCGGTCAGTGTCAGCCACACGACAGATAGGGAGCTATCTAAGACGTCGGATATTGGGCCAAGCTCGAACCCTTTTGGGGTGAAGTGCACGTTGGGGGAGGGGCGGTGCCTAATACTGCCGCGAGCTCCGCGCATGAGAAAATTTTTCCTAGGCGCTGCCAATTTGAGCGTGGTGCCTCGTGCACAAGGAGAAAATTTCCGCTGCAGCCAACGTAATACGGAGCTGTTGCATGTGGCCCCCGCATAACGTGGCTCACTATCGGGATAAGAAAATCCTTTAGCTGATTAAGTTCTCATGGCGCTGCATACTTCTGCGGTAGGAAAGCTCGAGAAAATTTTTACACGCATCGGCAATCAAGCATGCTGTGACGTAGAAAAAACTTGCACAAACAAAAACCACATCCTTATCCCATATCCAACCAAATTTCCGCTTTAACTCAACCACTTCCCGCACATATACCCCCATAACCTCCGAAGACACAGACCATCATCTTCGAAGACATATACCCCATAATCTTCAAGACACGTACATTGAATCCCACGCCATGTCCTATCTCACCGCCGAACGCCGCCCCTCCATGGTGGAGAGAAGGGCGTCGATGGACCCGCAGAGCCGCCCGCTGTTCATTCCGCACCTCGCAGGGTTGGAGAAGCCATTCGCTGACACCATCCCCACCGAAACAGACGTGCTTGTAATCGGAACTGGCCTTACGGAGTCGATTCTTGCGGCATCACTCGCGTGGTCCGGCTCCGAGGTGCTCCACATTGATGCTAACAGCTACTACGGCGACACGACTGCGGCGTTGACGATTGACCAGATCAAGCAGTGGGTGCAGCATGTAAACAGCGGCGCCTCGGCGAGCCACCAGAACTACCGCGGCGCGCTCTTGTATATTCCGCGGCCCAGCGTGTTGCAGCTGCGTGAGTACCTGATCGACTTGACACCAAAGTTTCTTTTCGCAAAATCGGACCTTTTGGATTTGCTCGTCAAGTCGCGCGTATTCCAGTACCTCGAGTTCCAGTCGCTCTCCTCGTTCCACGTGTTCGAGAACGACTGCTTCGAGAAGATGAACAACTCCAAGGAGTCCATCTTCACCGACCAGTCGCTCACGCTCGCCACCAAGCGCCACTTGATGAAGTTTTTGAAGTTTGTGTTGGAATACCCGGAGACGCCTGAACTCTGGCACGACTATGCCGACAAGCCGCTCACCCAGTTCATCTCCGAACGTTACAAGCTCGACGGACCCCAGATCAATGAGATCGTCTTTTCTATCGCACTTTCCACCTCCACCGCCATCTCCACCGCTGAAGGTTTGCAGCGCATCAGACGGTCGTTGACGTCATATGACATCTACGGCAAGTTCCCCGTTTTGGTCTCCAAATACGGGGGACCCGGTGAGGTCTCCCAAGGCTTCTGTCGCTCCGCCGCCGTTGCGGGTGCCACCTACAAGCTCGGCAACAGCATGATCGCGTACGACGCGGAAAAGAAGCTCGCCACCTTTAACGACGGCTCTCGAGTGGTTGTTAAGGAGAAGATTGTCTGTTCCCAGTCGCAGGTGCCGCAGAACTTGCTCCGCTTCCAGGACCAGAAGACGGAGAAGGTGGAGATTACGCGGTTAATCGCCATTGTCGAGAAGGACTGCGCCGCGTGGTTCGCCGAGAACGAGCACTCTGCGTTCGTCGTGTTCCCGCCAGACTCTCTCCAGACGGCAGTCTCCAAGAGCGCGCCTACGCCCGCTACAAACAAGACCGCGGTTCAGATCATCATCCAGGGCGCCGGTGCCGGCGTGGTGCCGGCTGGCCAGTGTCTCTGGTCGTTGACCACCACCACGCCCGGCGACGCCGGCAGACGCGAGTTGGAGGCCGCGTTAATGCAGATGGAAAAATCTTTATTGCGTGAGTCAGACGAGGAGTACGAGTTGGCCGTTACCCCGAATGATGTCATCTACAACGCCCAAGGTACCCCCATTATCAACTCCTTGCGCGTCGGTGATGCGTTCAAGGGCTTTGCGCCGCGTGAGAAGTTGACTTACTTGTTCAAGTTGATGTTCAGCCAACTCACTGCTGCCTCCGGCGTTACCTCCGACGTGTTGTTTACCGAGATGCCGTCGGCTGAGATCTCTTACGATGGCTTTGTTGCCGAGGCGCGAGCCTTATACGAGCGTATCACCGGCTCTTCTGATGACTTCTTTGATGTGGACTTCGAGGACGAGGACGAGGAGATGGCTGCCGTCGAAGAGGACGAGAGCATGGATGTGGACGAGGCCGATGGTAAACGCAGCCGTCGTGGCTCTTCCGCTCGGAGCAGTCGCAATGGCAGTGTCATTGTCCCAGTTAATATGAGCATGAGCAGCGCCAAGGATAGAGACGATGAGGCTATGCGCACCCAAGACGACGAGTTCGCTGCCGGCATGGACTTGTAGGGTTGGATCTTTACGCTCTTGTTTTGACATGTGTCATTTTGTATATTGGTTGGCGTGTCTGATCGTCGCCCTCTGAACTTTAATTTTTGATTCGTCATTTGGTTTGCTTTTCTTCGCTCTTGTATTATATTATCTCCCTGGTGGAATCTAGTGATATCTCTATCGTATGTTTAGTGTTTACGCATTGTCTTGGAGCTTCCTAGTCTGTTTCGCTCTACACGAATGGGCTAATGGTGCGGCCGGTCTTCGTTATAAATACCAGTTGTAACTACAGTCGAAGAATATAACTTGGCAGCTCTTTAATTAATTCTGAGAGCGGGAGCTGATTTTAAAACCAAAATATGTATCCTTATACCTATATATTTGTATCTATTGATTAATATGGAGTTATTATTTAATTTATAATTATTATTTAATTTATAATTGTTATTCAATTTTTACCTTTAATGACTGCGAAATATAATAACATCGAACAAAGTTTTATTGAGCACTAAACAGAAAACCATAATTCGCCCGGATATGTATGAATAATTACGCCCTTTATTAATTCAACAGATACATACAAAAAAATAATCGTGTAGTGTATACGTAGAAGCCACTATGTCAATTACTTTTATGCGTCAATACCGATATCTCGAAATTGGCTTTATTTGAAACCCTTGCACCACATTTACAACCAATCAAGCGTAAGGAAAAATCAATAAAACTAATCTATTGTGATAAAATATTCAACATTTTATAGCTAAAACTGACCATGGATTTGGAACAAATTTGCTGTACTGAGTTTTTCATTACCAATCAATACAACGCTGGATACGCGACGTGCAGGCTGATATACTCTGATTTGCGATTCATTTGTATTTGACAATTACATCATAGGAAGACCGTCCATTGATAGCATAACTGGAGAAATATTCAATCTTCGCCTATGAAATTGCTTTCTTCCATAATGACCCTGACATATATGCAGGTACATTACAAAATATCACGTCTACCCCTCCCGTCTAGGGTCTCGACCTAATATTTGAGCCTTATACCTTTGAGCTTCCTAGATAGTACTCGTTAACCCAACCTCACACCATCAACAAGACTCCAACGAAAATAGAGGTTTGCCTTTACTGTAAATTAAACCACCCCAAACATACACAGCCTTGTGACTAAACTGAGCCTGACTGTAAATAACCATCCAGACACTAGCCAGATGTTTTGGGAAGATAACAGTCACACCCTTCTGTGAAAGTTTCGAGAGAAAACCAAACTGGGATACCAAACGCACATTACATCACGTGCATATCACATGACTAGGGCTTGGTGAAAACTCTGTATGACGAAAGTATTTTTTATTTTTTTTTCGCGCAGGACGTTGACGAAAGCTTCGAGCGCGCTGCCAGATTGTAACCTCTACCGGAGGGTCATAAAATTTTCCAGTTTGGATACTGTGCGTACGCCGCTACCCTGCTTCCTTTTCCTTTCTCCAAGACTGAGCAGTATAATTTATCTCTCTCCCCTGTCGAAGAAGTCCTCACTTATACTTTTTAACCAAACAACAAATTAAACATGTCTGACGTCGAAGAACAACCAATTGTCGAAGAAGTTGCCGTTGAACAGCAGTCCGGCTCTATCTCCATCGAAGATGCCTTGAAGGGTGTTTTGAGAACCTCTTTGGTTCACGATGGTTTGGCTCGTGGTTTGAGAGAGGCCTCTAAGGCTTTGTCCAGAAGAGAAGCCCAGATGTGTGTCTTGTGTGACTCTGTTACCGAAGAAAACATCATTAAGTTGGTCGAAGCTTTGTGTAACGAGCCAGAAGAGAAGATTCCATTGATCAAGGTCTCTGACGCCAAGAAGTTGGGTGAATGGGCCGGTCTCTGCTCTTTGGACAGAGAAGGTAACGCCAGAAAGGTTGTCGGTGCCTCTTGTGTCGTCATCAAGAACTGGGGTGCTGACTCTGCCGAACGTAACGTTTTGTTGGAGTACTTCTCCCAGCAGTAGATTATTTCACTAAACTTGTAACCAGGGCTTGCCTCTGCGAGTTTATTTGAATGTATTCTGTTGAAAGCACCAGGAACAATGCCCCGAGATAAAGGGTTTTTGTATTTATGAATAATTTGTACTTGTTTTCTGTTGATTATATTGTAGCAATGCCACTCCAAGCCAGGCGATTAGACAACTTGCGATTCTTAAAGCAGAGCAGTTAGTCTCAGGTAAGAGATTAGCCTGATTTATTGAAGGGAGTAAACCCGATGAAAAACTTAAGGGGATGAACACACCATCTATAGAGATATCAAACTATTATTCCTAATCACGAAACCCTCTGACGTGGATTCAAGGATAAAATCTTGAACCCTCCCCTGGACAAGGGCTTAGGTCAGATTTTTCACCATCTCCAACACAAGCTGTCTTCCTGGCACCTCTGGATGGGCCATAACAATGCGTAATGCCTTGTCATCCTCGCCGGACAACATGCGGATATCCTTCCCTGTGATGACTTGGACCAATTTATTGGACCCCGTGCGTTCGTCGCTGATGGCCCACACCTCGACCGCCTCGTCGCAAACCAACACCAAGTAGTTGTCATAGAAGTTGATGCGCGAGCAGCGGAAGCGGAAGTTGAGCATTGACCCGCGCGACAACTCACCTAACGGGTTGGTGAAGATGGCAAAGTCCGCGTACACGAGGAGAAACTCTTGGTTGTTGTGCAACTTGAACATGCCCATGGCGCGTACCGTGGCGTTCAATTTCTGGCGGATCTGCTCGAGCTCACGATTGTCGGAGGCCGGGGGGAGGATCGGGATGGACCCTGGGCGCAAGTTGTCCAAAGACATGACCTCGAAGCCTTTGGACGTGTGCACCGCAAACACAGACTTAAACACGGATAAGCCGTAGCATTCGGCCTGCATCACAAACTTGTAGATGTAGTCCTTCAGGAAGGAGTCAAAGCGGTCTGTTGCGGGGTCACGGATGGGGTAGAGCACGCGGAACTTGGAGTTGCTCTTGGTGCGCACATGGCTGATGAGGAACAACGTGGTGCTGTTCTTGTACGCACCGATCTTGAACGCCTCGATGTCCTTATAGAGGAGCTTGGTGCCGACCGCCTTTGCGCGTGTACCGCGGTATGCCCCGCCGAAGAGCGCCCGCGCGCCCGTGTAGTAGCTCAAGCTCTTGTCCGAGAGTACCAACACTAGATCGAACGACGGCATGACTCCGATCTGGCGGACGCTCCGGAGATCCAAGATGCGCTTCCACTCGCGAGGGGATGCTAGAGGGGTCATATAGACACCATAGTCGAGACCCACAAGGGCGTAGTTCTCGCCGTCAATGTCAAAGGAGGCGGCGCAATTGACCCGTGAGGTCATCAACGGGCGGGGGATGGACCGTGACCTTTCCTCTACCAGATTCCTTAGAACCAATGCCTGTGACATTGAGTCCTTGGAAGTCACATCACCCCCAACCTCGTGCGCCCTTCCTTCAGACTCAGTCTTTCCATTAGAGTACACTTCCTGGAGAGCTACCATAATCGGGTCTCCTGGTGCACACAACGGAAGCCTCACCACCTCCTCACACGCAAAAGCCGCATCGCTCAACACCCGCAACCGGTATGGCTCGTTATCCCTGATTCGGTCAAACAACGCAGTCTTGGCCTTTACAATCACATCGCGCCACGTGTCGCGCGTCTGCCGTTCCTTGGTATAGTAAGTGTGCGACTCGGCCTCGCCTGCGTAGCGCACCTTGAACGAAAACACCGTTTGGGGCTCGCTGACCTTTGCGGTTAAGCTGCTGTGGGTGCTCGAGCTCTTGAGAAGCTTCAACGAATACGACGGTGACTGCCGGATTTCCGGACGCTCCTCAACCTCGTCCTTTATCTCCACCACCAAGTACTCCATAGGGATCGGGCGCTCCACCACCTTGAGCCGAAGCGTCTCCTTCATTGTCGGTTCGGTGATCAACAAGTAGTTATCAAGGAGAATCAAGTCCACCGTGGTGTCACTCCCCAAGAGCCGATTCTGGTACACCACGTCATGTTTCACAAGCTTGCGGTTCTTCAGCGAGAGATTAAGGTTGATCTTCGGCACATGCTTCCAGTAGAGCTGGGCACGCAACTTCTGCAACGTCTGGTGGTTCTGTGACACGTAGTACATCTCATCACTGCGGATGTTCAAGCGGCGTAAAGCTTTCAACACACGTGCTATCGGCGCATAGTCCGTGTGGGTTGGCGGCGTAAGCCTCAAGATGGTTTCAAACGGCTTCGCCACGTCGATCGGGTAGATTATGTAGTTGATGTACTTGAAGAACTTGGCCCACGCGCCCGCACCGTCTACCTGCGCGTACCACCGCGCAAATCGTGACGCCTTCTTGTCCTTGAGCTCATGGTCGATGAGCGCAACCACGTACACCTTGTACGTTGCGTAGTTGAGGTAAGGAAGCTTTGAGTCGCGCACAAAGTTAATAAAGAACCGGCTGAAGCTTGATTTGATGAACTTGCCTTCGCGCACAAAGATCTCCACGAGGGGCTCGAGCAATTCCCGCTTCATCACTTCCACCAACGCCTTTACCGTTCCGAAACAGTATTCGTAGAACCGATCGGCGTTTGGCACAAGTGGCGGGCTCTCACGGAGAAAGCTCGCCCCGCAGCCGTCGACAAACCGCTCACCATCAGCCACCATCAAGTAGGTGAGCTTCAAGATCTCAAAGATGGAGCACTGTCTTTCAACCACGTCTTTTCCCAAGCGTTCAACTTCGTCTTTTCTCACGTCCCAGAACGTGTACCACTGGTTGAACTCCGCTGTACGGAGCCGCGTGAGGTCGAACTTTGTGTCGCTGATTGAGCTTAGCGGACAGAGCGGCGCGTAGCATCTGTACCCCGCGTCGGCGGGCTTATCACAGCCATAACACGGCAATAATGGCGTAAACACACCAGAGACGCTGACACTAGGGTTGAACCCCACATCAGAAGTGGTGTGAGAATGGGGAAGGGAGAGGAAGTCATTGGGATCTTCCTTCCCATCGTCTTTGGTTCCCTGGCCCATGATACTTCCATCTTCAATCGCGCCCGCTTCGACCAAACTCGCAACGATGGCCACAGCGGTCTCAACCATCACCTCATGCTCTGGAATCTCGGCTTCCCGTTGGATGTAGTGATACTTCACAAGCCCGTAGAAGGCCTTCTCGAGTTCCACCACCAGAATGCTCGACCCCTGCGACCAGATGGACAAGAACTTGCACCAGCTCCAGAGCGTGGACAAGTTCCAGAAGTCGGTTCCACACTGCTTGTACTGTGACGACACGAGCGCGGCAGCAGAGAACGGGAGGTTTGGAAGCTCGAGCGGCCGCGGGGGCAACGCCTCGTTTTTCTTTCGCAAGTACGAGTCTTGACCGTTCAAGCGAGCTTCATCTTCATTATCGGTCGGCGGGTTGAGCCCCAACGAGTCATTACTCGCTACGAGCTTGATATTTAGCATCTCAAAGTCCGTGGTAGGAGGGGGAAAATTGGTGGTATCCAAGCTATAGTCACCAACGTCAGAGTAAAACGAGTTGGGTCCAGGTTTACCCTCCGAGACAATGGTGGAGGCAGTGGCCGTCGTCCCTGACCGAACGTTCCCCTCAAACACATTCCCAAGCTCCTCTTCCGGGGTCTTCCAGCCGGAAGATAGTGTGGGGGACCGGCTGAAGGCTTTTGGGCTCTCGATACGAAATCCGCTATTCACAGAGTCAAGGCTCTGCCTGGGTGTGAGCGATGGAGATGAGTCGGCTGTGAACTGGTACGAGTTGCGGTGCACCGAGTTGTTGTTGTTATGGAACGCGAGTGAGCCGGCTGACGGATTCTGCAGTTTATAGAACTCCCGTGAATGGTTCGGGCTTGTTTTGGCATCATACCATGACCGGCTGTCACTCGTCGGGGATTCCCGTAAAAACAGGTACGGCTCATAGGCAGACCGTCTGGGAGAGGTGCAAGGGGACTCTGGGTAGGAGTATTCCGAATTGGGGGTCATAAGAGGGCGATCACCTAAGCTTTGGGACGTCTGTGGTTCATGGTTTTGGTCCAGAGCTCCATTTGCAAGGTAAGCCTGCGATTCATATACTTGGAAGCTTTGAATTCTCGTTGGATAAGTTGATCCATGCTTCGAGGGAGATTGCTCGAGCCCGTCCGGATAGCTACTTCGGGGATAGCCCCGGGTTCCGCTTTTGGACGGGGTCAGGGGCGAACTGTTGTCAAAGTCTGGAAGCTTTCTCGGTCCTAGAGGCTTCCCCGGGGTGGTTTGGGGCAGAAAAATCGGCTCTTTACGATATAAACTGTCGTCATAGCTCGGATAGGGCGTGTTTACGATCGGCGTCGGTGGACCCGACTCCATCGAGTGGCTATCGAGGGATAGTTTGGGTGGTGGGGCAGGAGGGAACTCTGGCACTTCTGTGGCCCATTGTTGCTCCTGGTACTGGGCCTGGTGCTGGGCTGTGATGGTGGAGTGACTGGTGTGGCGGCTGTTCAATGCATCTGGGGCGGGAAGCACGTCATTGTACTCCACAATATACGGTTTTGGAGGGGTTTCGTCAAGCTCCACAGGCGGCTTCCGTCTTGGTGGCATTGTAATTTAGTTCGTAAGTATGTGTATTAAGCGAGATGTTGGTTGCATGTGGTTCAGCTTGTGTGTTTATGAGAAAACCAAGTTGTGTCTTTGCCGGATCGGGTAGTCGGCTGTAGTGCCGGATCGGGTGCGTGCGGCGCAGGAATATTCCTAATAGAGTTTGGTGAACATGTCTAATAAATATTATAAACGGGGAAGGAAGATGGCAAATTATCAGAGCGAGTTTCCTATTGGGTTGTAGCTGCAATTGGTACTTGCCAAATATGGGATGTTGTGCGGCAGTTTTGATCCGGCTCGAGATTGAGACAGCTGTAGGGTACGAAATTCTAGAAGCGGATAACAACGGTTTTTTAGTGACTAAATGAGAGCACCAGAATACTACTGAAAGGTCTTGGAATTAGGTCTAAGTCACAACAGTATACTTACAATGGGTACTATCAGAAAAAGGTGAGCCCCTGTGTCTCCAGAACTTCTGAATCTTGGAATACCTCACCGGTTAAATAAGCTATTCCTGTAGTAAGGGTGCCATTTAACTAGATAGAGGTCGAGGCTCATTATCCCCTTGCCTCTGATAAGCGGACACCCTGGCATCGTACCCGCCTCGGTATACAAGGCCACCGACTACCCTTCTCTTGTGTATATCTTACATACAAAAAGGATGCCCTTTTAACTAACAGTATCCACTATTACCTACTAGATGTACCGCAATTTCTGTTATCCGTATATTCACGCCAATAACGTAAGATCTGCTATATCGTCAGCAGTAGGGAGGGTGCTGTATTGCTCAGGAATCACTGCCTATTTTAAATACTGCCCCATGCCACTCAATATACAAGCTTAAGATATACTATGCCGCAATAATAAACTATCCCCTTTCACTTATTCCAGCCCTTAGTCGTCTATGAGCCGGTCCGTATGCACTGCAAAATATTTCCCCACCGTGCAGGACGCATATCTCAATAATTTTTCACCCAGCTTTCTCGTCCTCTTCTTTGCTCTAACATCCACTATCATGACTGAAGCCATTGCTCCGACGCTCTCCACATACCAGGACGTCCAGACGTTTGAGTTCGACCGCTTTAAGGCCCAAGAGAGACACAGGTCGTACTTGGGCACGGACGACCTGCCGTCGCTTGAGGCGTTGAAGGCGCGCTTGTTCGACTACTACTCCATGCCTGAGTTGCTCGCATTCTTGGAGGAAAAAGTGCAATACCGCAAGATTACTTTGCAGTTTCCTGACCATTTGGTTTCGGACTCCGCCATTATCGCACAGGAGATGCTGCGTGCGTTGAACGTGGCCGTCGCGCCGTTGGGCTCCGGAACCGATGCCAGCTGCGCATCTGCCAGCTGTGACTCTAGCAGTTGTTGCAAGAAGGCTGAAGGGGATGACAATTCTGAGAGAAAGGTATGGATCCTAGCCGACACTTCATACTCCCCGTGCTGTATTGACGAAGTGGCGGCCGAACATGTCCATAGCGACTTGGTCATACATTTCGGTGATGCGTGCTTGAACAACGTAGACAAACTTCCGTCGGTTTACGTCTTTGGCAAGTCTTTTATTGACGAAACAGCCTTCACGGCCAAATTTCAGGAGCTCTATCCTGACACCTCGAGCAAGGTGGTGCTAATGGCGGATGCCCCACACACGTACTACTTGCCTCGTCTCTACGAGAGGTTGAAGAAGACGTATCCTCACTTGGCCTATGCAGCGATTAAACTACCAGAGAGCAACACAAGTGTGATTATTGATCGTGATGCGTTTTCCAGTGCCGCCGAGGTCGGGTTGCACCAGGTAAACCGCTTTTTCATCGGCTTGAAAGACGTCCAGCAGGATATGGAGCAGGAAGGTATCGACTCGGCGCTCCAGGGTTATGACTTGCTCCACATAACGTTACCGGAAGCGCCACGTTTGTTAGTGCTAAGCACGAAATTCGCCTCGTTGACCATTTTCGAGCCTACCGACAACTCTATCAACCAGGGGCCCTTTCCCTCTTTGATGAAGCGCTACAGATACATGCACATGGCACGCACCGCTGGGACGATTGGGATTCTTGTCAACACATTGTCCTTGAAAAACACGAAATCTTTATTGAACAAAGTATCGCAGTGGATCAAAGACGCGGGGAAGAAACACTATATGTTTGTGGTAGGAAAGCCTAACGTAGCAAAGTTGGCCAACTTCGAAAGCATCGACATCTGGTGTGTTTTGGGCTGTGGCCAGGCCGGGATCATCGTGGATCAAGTGAACGAGTTCTACAAGCCGGTCATCACGCCGTACGAGTTACAAATGGCGTTGAACGACGAGGTCAGCTGGACTGGAAAGTGGATCACTGACTTCCAGGAGGTGTTGCGCAATGCCGGAGAGGAGAAAGAGGAAAAGGATGCCGAGCCGGCTGTGAATGCCGAGGATTACGAGGACGAGGCGCCAGAGTTTAACCCCGTCACTGGGAAGTATGTCTCCACATCTAGGCCGTTGCGTCGCCTCCAACACATGTCCATTGAGGCCAAGGAGCCCCAGGAGGATGACTCCACTGCATTGATCAAGAAGTTCTCCAGCACCATGGCGATTAGAGGAACCGTTTCTACATCCGCTGCCCAGTTACAGAACAGACTGTGGACCGGATTGGGCAGCGATTTCCAAGATGCAAGTGTGAACAGTGACGAGGAGGACGCCGAGGAGGGTGCACTTGTGGAAGAGGGCAGAGGGGGGGTTGCCAGAATCTACGACAAATAGGTGTATATATTTAATAATTAATGAAACCAGGAGAGGAGCTGTAGAGATAGGGAGCTAATACCAGGGGGTCTGAATCGAAGTTTTGGAGTGAATTCGAAGGAAACGACCATGCCAGGTTTCATGGTGCTAGCCAGTACGTGACTGCGTTCTACGGCTATAGGCAACTAATCTATTGGTCTAGACTTAGCGCATATCGATATTTATCCAACAGTGTCTGGTTCGGCTAAATATATAGGGAGCGTAGCCTATGTTTCTACCGGATCTATCTCCAAAAAGCCCGGTCAACATATGGATAACAACCATATCAAGCATCCCATGGATAACCCCCCATAATGAGCAATTACTTAGGGTGACGTCACACCACGAGCCGAGAAGGTGCCGTGGCGTCGCCCAATGCAGTCGGTGGCGCAGCTCCTCCTGTCGGCACAGCCTTACATAAATCGAATTCACCTCCGCGTCCCCCGCCTCTATTCCTCACCATTCAACTTTACATTATACACCATGGGTCTTGCTCCATCTAAGATCATGGACTCTCTTATGGAGGGTACCAACTTCGACCGTGAGGAGATTGACCGCTTGCGCAAGCGGTTCATGAAGTTGGACAAGGACAACTCTGGCACTATCGACAGCGAGGAGTTTGTGCTGATTCCCGGGGTGTCTTCCAATCCGCTCGCTCCACGTTTGATGGAGGTTTTTGACGAAGATGGAGGTGGGAGTGTCGACTTCCAGGAGTTTATTGACGGGTTATCCGTGTTCTCCGTACGAGGCGATATCGACCAGAAGTTACGCTTTGCATTCAAGATCTACGACATCGACCGCGACGGCTTCATCTCCAACGGTGAGTTGTACTTGGTATTGAAGATGATGGTGGGTACGCATCTCGCAAAAGAGCAGTTGCAGCAGCTTGTGGACCGTACCATTATGGAGAACGACAAGGATGGTGACGGCAAGCTTAGCTTTGAGGAGTTCAAGAACGCAGTGGATCAGACCAAGATTGCCAACAGTTTGACCTTACAGAGCTTTTAGAAAGTTCAAAAATTGGAACTATACCGAGATCGGTTTTTGATCCTTTATCATCGCGGGACGGTACTAGTCCTCTATCCTCTATGTATAATAACAAACAATGTAATAACATGGTGTAAGCGTTACTAAGGCGAGCATCTGGGATTAAAGTGCATCAGCCCTTGGTGCAGTCTAGATTTTAGTCCTAATACGTTTGATTTGAGAACTAGATAATATCCATACAAAAAATAATAATCAGTTCATACAGAAATAAATGGTTATTCAAGGGGAAACAATTTGTCACTCGGGAAACTTGCACATCATGGACTTCATGCTCATCAGCCCTCCAAATACTAAACTTCGTTTCAGTGGCTTTACCTCGCGTACGCAGAAGCGTGGATTAGCTAGACCAATCATATGTGTAAAAACTCATAAATTATCCAACTCAATAGACGACCATTTGCAATGTTTTTTTTTTTTTTTTTGAAAACGTTCAACCTCGATGTGTGGGCTAAATGAACGGACGTAAGCTACACCGGCGACAGCACTCAAGGCTAGCCTAGATATACACTAAAACTAATTTTTGACAGGCATATCGTGTAGCTACTGAAACGCCCCCAATTAACCTCATTTCTTTCACACCTTACCTACCCTGACTCTATAAAAGGCCACATTTCTTTCAGTTCTATATCTATTCATGTGGCTGGTGGAAGCACAGCCACGCATAACAGTGGCGCATTCGGCCGCATGATTAATTACGCATTGCCATTTGTGACATAGCAACAAAGGACAACTTGTACCCCTCTATCAATTTCCGTTTATCCTCAACCCATTTTTGCTAGTCTTGGCGATAATGCCGGCCGAACTCGTCTCTGAACAGAGTCTGTCGGACTCTGAAGACTCCATCATCAATCTCTCGCGAGAGTACTTTCCCGAGACCCTTCCGCTTTCAAGCCTCCCCAAAGAAACATCTTCAGACGAGGAGCGAGCCATGGACCCCTCGGATTTCCTATCACCAAAACCCGCAGGAGAGCCATCCCGTGAGGGACTTAAAGGTTTTTCATCCACCACAAGAGAGCTATCCCATGAGCGGTTTAATTTCTCCCGCGAGAGCTTTTCACCGGTGGACTACTCCCCATCCATAATGTCCTGGTCGGAGTTTCCTGAATGGCCCCAAAACGAAAGCAATCACGACCTAGAGGCTTCCTTCCACGGATTACCCGAACTGCCGATGGTTTATCTTGCCAGCAGGGAGAAGAAGGAGACAAAACGTCTTGAGGCATTGCTCCTGAGACATCATCTGGCGTTGCAAACGGGTGAGGACGATATCGACGATATTCGTCAGCAAATAGCGGCGCAGTTTTCAAGGCTCCATGAGGTCTACGTGTCCTTAGGTGAGATATACAAGACGGAGATACTGTCCCGTGAGGAGTATACAGAGAGGATCAAGCACTGGGAAGCAAGACGAAACCGCTTGATCCAGAGCGTGGATGCCTTGAGAGATACGAGTGGAGGTGAGGGGGCTAAACTCGTGTCTTTGCTAGCGGAACAAACCTCCTGCGATGACGAAATCGCGGGGTTGGAGAGCCAACTCCGGAACTTGAGGCTCAAGCGGGCCATGCTCGGCCGGGAGATTGTGGAGACAAATTCTGTGATCGAAAGCCGGTGCTCGCTGTATCTAGAGTCGCTAGCGAGTATGGAAGAAGCGGGGCTCAAATCGGTACAATCGATACCGCTGTTCATGAACGGTCCAGAGCTTATAGTACATCTGGAGAAAGCTTTTATATCTCTGGAGAGATCTCTTAATCTTCCAAAGATGGAACCCAGTATCAAGAATACGTTGATGGGACTTTGGAGATCTGTCAAGGAAGAACCCGAGCCCAGGGCGGAGCCTGTAGACCTCATCATACACGGGAAGATAGTCCCAAAGGTGGATGTTAATGCCATATTGGAGGTGCTACACACCCAGACAGAGGTATATAACGATATGCGCGAAGTCAATGGGAGTAAGGGTGAGGGTGCACGCCTGAGTCTTGCCCTCTGGGCTACCTCCGTGGACATTGTGCACCAGATGGAGGCAAAGGTGCGACAAATCACTGGAAATGACCAAGAAGCGGAGAGAGATGTGGATAAGACGTTGCTTGCAATTCTCAATGTGTGTTACGACGAACTAGAGGTGCGGGTGAAGCTTGCAAGGGGATTAGACCAAGTCACCAAGGGCATCATGAGTGAGTGCGAGGCGGTCAGTATGGGTATTCAGGTAATTTCTCGTAGCGCACTGTCCCGGTTCCAGCAAACGAAAGCACACTCTAGGAAAGAAGTGGCACAGCGTAAAGACGTTCGAGTTAGCGAAAGGCCCGGACGATCTCTGCTGCCGACATCCATATCTCAAATCCAGCCGTTTGTGCAAATGCCGACGGCCACTACGGGCTATGATCTATCCAAGGCGACCCCGGAGTTTGCTAGCCTGAAGAAGACAAAAACGATTTATGATGGGGCGACCCCAAAACCGTTCAAGGCGGACTAGGCGGATGCTGCCGTGTAATTGAAGTTTGAGATTCATTCAAGGACTGAATGATGGGGCAGCTGGGGTAAATGAAATAGCGTCTAGGGACTAGCCTGTTTGGTAATCTTGATGAAATTTAAATACCAGGTGAAGCATATTGGTGTAGAAATTATAAAAGTTACGCTGACAACCGAGTTAGATCCATGCTATTTCATTTTTATTGGGATTACGTTGTACTGAGGTGAAGGTCCAGTTTATTGTATACTCCAAGACTTACACAATGTCGATAATTGGGTAAGTTCAGAACTCTGTTCATTGTGTTGGGTATCTTAGTTGCCGTTTTGGTATATACCCCAGGCTTTTGGATGACAATCGAACTTTGGGTCTCACTAGTTATACTTAGTTTCAGGCTGGTTTAGTTGCGGAGTTTCACTTTATTTTAATGTTAGACATCGAGTCACCTTCAGTTTCACCCAAGACTTTTCAGGAAAACTCCCCTATTCAACTGGGAGAAAATATTCACAGTAAAAGTGTAGCGTGAATCAAAATTAATATCCCAGCCATAAAAACTAGCCCAACCATAATTAGATAATTGCACTATCAGTCTAGCTAAATTGCTGGCGGATGACCATATATGCTCGAATAGATCTCCGCCCCTTTCTCTAATCAATATCTCCCCATCATGGAGACATAAGCCTAAATACCAAGATATTACTTCCGCTTAATGAAAATATTCGGCACGTTGGTACCGCGGCCGCGACCGCGCCCCCGATGCGCGCCGCGGCTAGACCCACCGTTGGACATCACACCTCCGGACACGTTAGGGACAGGGTACCCGGCCCGCGGCGGGAGCGTTCCAGACCGCACCTGTGGCTCATACCGGCCCAGATGTCCGTTATTCGTCTGGTTAGGGCGTGACTCACGGTACTGCTCGTAGCCAACTCGCGTCGGGTATAATTCTGGTTTACGGTTAGAACTACGAGCAGGAAGCAAGGGAGGCTCGGCGTTCGCACTCGGCGCTTCGTACACCTTTGGGGTGTAGCGTGAGGTGCTACGGGGCACCTGTTTAGGCATAAAAACCCGCGAAGTCTTCACGGCATGGGAAACTTCGTTCTGCGGACGCTTCGCCTCGGGGAGGCTATTGTCAGTTTTGCGCTTCATCACACCGGAGGACAGCGGGAGCGGGGCCGAATCGGCCATGTCTTTTTTGGACTCGCCTGTAGGTGTAGCCATAGACTTAACCGTAGAATCACCTGTAGGAGCATTCGTCTTTGGCCTATTCGCAGATGAACCCGTCATTGGCTGATTCAATGAGTCGTCAGGTTTTAACTCTTCTCTTTCCTTCGCCTCCCATTCTTTTTTCTTGCGTTCCCTCTTGCGCTCCTTCTTCAAGCGCTTTTCTTCCTCCAGTGTCTGGTCGCCCGGATCCACTGACTCGCTCTTATTTGGGCGGCGGATCGGTGGATCGACAGGAATCACCACCTTCTCAACCGGGGTCAGGTTCGCTGACGCGACGATATTAATCAGCTCGGACTTGACCGGTGGCTGCAATACCGTCGAACTGGACGAGGCCGAATGGGGCGCAAGAGTTACGTTTGAGCCCGGCTTTGGCGGGCTCGACTTGCGAACGCGCGAGTCTGTCGAGTGATTCGCAATTGACCCTGTCGGGTGTGGGTTCACCTTCGACTGTAACTCGTCAACCTTCACAAGCTTTTTGCAGAAACCCTTTCCCACAACCTCCACACATCCTCGCTCCTCTGCATCCGCTACAAGATCTCGCCACATCTTATTCACCAGCAAAGACTCTCGATTCCCCAACACCCACATCGAGCTCTTTGCTCTCGTAAGCGCAACATTCATACGGCGAACATCACCAACAAACCCAACGCCCTTGGCATCGCTCCCGCGCACACATGACATGATAATGATCTCCTTCTCTTGGCCCTGGAACCCATCGACTGTGTTAAAGTCTACCTCATGGAGGATCATCTGTCCGTAGCGCTTCACAAACACATCGCGGATACGTCGCACCTGCTCCTTGTACGGCGAGATCACACCAACCTTGCCAGCCATCTCGCCGCAGAGACTCTCCACCGCTGCAAAGAGGTCCAATGCGGCGCGCGCCTCAGCCATGTTGAACAAACTCTTTGTGAGCGCGTTCTGCTGGTGAGCGCCACCAATGTCAAAGAAACGGTACGGCGCGAGCGGCGCATACGCATGCCAAGCACGCGCGGTTACGCGCGCCATGTCGGGCCCGTTGAGGAGTCGGGAGTCGTAGAATTCGCGACTCGGAAATGCGGAGATATCTGGATGCATGCGGTACTGCACATCGAGTAAGTACACCAGCTGTGGATGGCGGGTCTGCATCCGCACAAAAAGACTCTGCTCGTAGCGGAGGCGCGCGGCCGCCTGCGACAATACCGTCGGCGGGAGTTGGTTTGGGTCACCAACCATGATGCACTTCTTGCACCCGTAGCGGAGAGGAATGAGCGCCGAGAGCTCAATACATTGTGCGGCTTCGTCAATCACCACCGTCTCAAACGTCATCCCGAGCGCCGCAACAAAGTCATGAGCAGACCCCGAAAGCGTCGCGCAGATGACTTCCGCACCGAGGAGGATCTGTGACTGGATCTGGCGGCGCGCAATCTCGCGGTTACGGTGGGAGACAGAGATCCGCTCGCGTTGGTCATCGAGCTGCTTACCGAGCTGGTGGCGGCGCTTGTTGACCTCACGGAGCTGCGACTCAGCCGCCAGGGCGGCTTCCGGGAGGAGGTCCCCTCGCGCGAGCGCAGTGCGGAGCTGGTCGCGCTCTGCAACGCATTTGTTGTGCTCCTCGCGGATCTTGGGGTCAGCTTGAACGGTTGCGTTGCCGGACGCTATCTTTGCGTCGACAAGCTCCTCGAGCGTGAGATCGCGCACAGCTGAGTTGATGGCATCGCTGCGCCCAAGACGGACCACCTTGGGGGAGAACATTGCGCCATTTGCGTCGCGCACACCCGCACGGATCCGGAGTACGAGCTCGTCAACAGCAGCGTTACTCGGAGCGCAAACAAGGATCCGGCGGCCAGAGCCCGAGCTCGTAGCTGCACGTGAATCTGCCTTGATCGTATTCTTCGCACCGTCTGTAAGCACACACCCGATGATTCCAAGAATCGTCTTGGTCTTCCCGGTACCGGGCGGACCTTGAATAAGGGAGAACCCCTCGGCACCAACGGCACCTGCAATCGCCGCCGCCTGCGAGTCGTTTACATCGTATGCACGTTTCTTTGCGGAAACATCTGCACGCACGGTGGGTTCGCACGGCGTGGCGCGAACCACCTCGTCTGCCAAGTCATAGTACGCCAATCCTTTAAGTGACGCGTACTCACGCTCCACTGTCACCATCTGCATAATCTTCATGGCAAAGAGCTCCGCCCGCGGAGTGAGGAATCCGAGCAACGGGTTTGAATTGCTCACCCGAATCGTCAAATCGCAGTACTCCCCCGCGTGTTTTATCTCACGGATTTTTCCCAAGCACGCCGCGGCCGCCGTCTTCATCGTCGCGCGAGACGGGAGCCCCGCGCTGTCCAACTGCGCCTCCTCTACGAACGCCAACACGAGCATGTCCGTGTCACCGAGCCGCTTCTCCTTGAGCACATCCTTGCGCACCAGCAAGTATACGTCAAAGAAGTTGTTCAACGTGGTGCGACTGCCCACTACGAGCTTGAACGGCTCGTCGCTCCCTGCCTGTTTCGCGGACACCATCTGTTGCCAGCACTCGAGAAGGAGCAACGGTTCGAACGTGCGCGTGTACTCCGCAACCGACGCGAACGTTTCGCCGACGGGCGTGTACTCGGTGTTGTCGGGAAACTCAGCCGTGGAGGCTACGTTCCACTTAAGGATCTTTGCATAGAGCGGCGACATGTCGACGTTGAGTCGGAGACGCATGTTCTTCTCTGCGCGTTGGCTATCGGTGAGTGTCACGTGTGCGCGGCGGAGGCTGGGCACGGGGCCAATGACGCTGACCTTGGGCTTAGCTGCTGGTGCCTTGACAAAGAGGTCGGTGGTGTCAACATCGTCGGCATCGGACTCGTCAGACGACTCAACGTGGTTCTTGTTGAACCCCGCGGGGCGCGGTGCTGCGGGCGCTGCGAGCGACTTGGGCTTGAGTTGGAGCTTTTTTGCCGCCTGCGCACGCTCGAGCCGGATAGCCTCAAGGGCGGTGGTTTTAAAGACAGGCTTCGTCGCGAATTGGAACGGCGGGACGGTTGTGGGCGTCGCAAAGTTTGTAATCTTTGGCTGCGCGCGCACGGCCGGTGCGCGCGGCGTGTAAAGACTCCCACCTGTGGCGCGCGGCTCAGGCGACGCGCGTACCGGCGTTGCGCTCTCCAGTTTTGTTTCGCGGTACCCCTCAGCCTCGGCCACCACCTCGTCCACAATACCCTCGTTAAACTTGCGTGCACGATCGAGAATGTCGGCGCGCTGCTGCGTGCTCAACTTGTTGTTGAACTTTTTGGCCTTTGCACCGTAGCGCGCGATCGCGGTCACAATCGTGTCATCAAACGGAAGGTCCAACTCCAACGCAAGATCCACTGTGGCAAAAATGAGCTCCACGCATGAGCTGAGGAGAGAGAGGTCACCGAGCCGCAACCACACGAGCATGTGGCGGAAACACGACATGATATCGGCAAAGAGGCGGCGTGCGCGTGTTTCGGCTGTTCCGGGCTCGCGTGCAAGCACCGTAAGGAGCGGCTTGAAGGCTGCAAACACCGAAAGCGACAAGTCTAGCGTGTCGCGCGTAAACTCCACAAGGTTCAGGTACTGCATCGCCCACTTGAGCGTTCCCTCGTAGATCACGTCCAAGAAGCCCCAGCAAATTGTCCAGAAGTCCAGTAACGCGGCATCCAATTCTGGCGTGATTGTGCCCAAATCGATAAAGATCCCTGAAAGGGGATCGCTGAGTGCCAGTACCACGTCCATGAGCACGCGAACGGTTTTTGGGCACGGTTCGAAGAACTTGAGGAACATGATGCGCTTGAGCGTCACGTTCAACGCCGCAAGACATGCTGCAAGGTTCAGCGAGAGGAGCTCCTTGGTCCCCTCTCGGCGGCCTTGCACGTCAAACGCCTCGTAGAGGATGTTGACCGCGGCCTGGTAGATATCGACTTCTTTGTTGGCGCAGAGAAGACACGACCAGAGCCCCTCGAGAACACGCTCGCGCGCAAAGAGCGCGCGTAGGCGCGCGGGCGCAAGGTATGAGACCTTGCCCAAGACATTCTCGACGCGTGCAAGTAGCTGGGCGGAGTGCGCGTTGTAATCGGCCTTCGCGCGGTTCGTCGTGTCCTGTTGCGCGAACTCGAACGGAAGCACACCAGCCACATTGTCAAACACACATAAGAGCTCTCCGATGAAATAGTGATCCTGTGAGCTAAGCACGCGCAGGACTAGCCCCCAGAGACGCGGCCGCACGAGCGACGTCAGGCCCATACCCTCGGTATGGAGGAAATAACGGCTCTGCGCAAACGCCACCACGTCGTACTGGAACGCAAGCGCGACGAGCTTGACCGAGTAGTAGCGGACCCGATCGTCCGCGTGTGTCATGTCAAACGTATCACGCATAGATGCTGTCGCAGCCGTGAGGATGCGCTCACATTGCGTGTCGACGAGGTTGCGACTTTCGGCACGTGTCATGAGTTCGATGGTGAGTTGCTTGTCGTAGAGCACGTGGGTTGTCGTGAGACACTGCGTGAGGTAGTAGAGGCCGTGGGCAGTGAAGTACGCCGCGTTGGGGTGAACGGCCGCGACGGCTGCAACTGGAACCATATTCAACAAAGCCATCCCGAGCTTGATCCCGGCCTGTTGTTGCTGTGCAATCGGCAACTGCTCAAAGAGCGGACCCATCCAGGCGGTGAGATCGGCGAGCGTTGCACGCGGTTCAACCATGTCGTCCTCGTCCGCCGTGAGTGTCAAGCCGAGACGCGCGAACTCGGGGTTCGCAAGGATCGTGTCAAGGAAATTGAGAAACGTGGACGGCGCGACGAGCGGCCAGAAGCCTGTGTCGAGTAATCTCAAGAATACCGTCAACGTGCGGAGTGCGTACGGTAACGGCGCGCCGCAGAAGCTCATGATGTGGTTGCGGAGTACGCAGGCGACGGGGACGAGATCGTATGTGGTCGTGCGCTTGACGCAGTCAATGTCACGCGGGCGATTGAGGTACGCGAACGTAGCTGGAGCTATGGCGTGTGCGATTGCAGTGGTATTCTTCCAGAATGCGGTTGCGTGGTCTTCTGTGTAGAATGCAGGGTCCTGGATACGCCACAAGTGGAGTGCATACTCCTCGGTGAGCGTCACATCCCAGTCGTCGGGCGAGACGGGCAGCGCGCGGAAGCTCTGAAGCAGGTTAAGCGCCCAGAGGCGCTCCTGTAGCGTTCCATCGAATAGGAGGTAGAGCGTTCCGGGAAGGAGTATCTGGGGCTTGATGAATTCGTCCTGGACAATGGTGAGGTTAAAGAGGCGTGAAAAACACTGCTTAAGTGTGGCACTGCGACGGAAGAGGTGTGGACCCGAAAGCATGTCTGCAAGCGCAAGCGCCGCGCGGGGTGAGAGGGTGGCGGTTGTGGAGTCTTCTGCGGCTACGCGCTCCGCCTCCGCGGTCAACACCGGGAGCAAGCGCGCGGCATGGTGGTCGTAAATGATGTCTATGAACTCACGTACCTGTGGCACTGCGATCCCGCGGATCATTACAAAGTTGTCCTTCAACTGTGCGACGCCGCGGTGAAACATGCAGCAGCAGCGCTGGCACACGTCCAACCAGCGTGCAGTGCGGGCGGAGAACCAGCGCAACACGTCACTGTCACCGAACGTGTAGAGGATCATGAGATGAACCGTCACTGGGTATGCATCAGGGTCGCAGAACAAGTGGGTTGTTTCTGGGAGTTTGGAGAGGTAGTCGAGCGACTGCTGGAGTACCGATTCGTCCAACAGTTGGTTGCCGGGCTCGCGGTGGGTTGTCGCGATAAGCTCAAGCAACGGCGTTAGCTCCATCGTGGATGGTTAATGCAAGTGGGTAAGAGCGGAAAAGGCAATCGCAAAGAGCGGGGGGCGTGGGGGGACAACAAATCGTAAGGTTTGTTGGTTGGCGCCAGCAGAACGAGTCGTTTTGGCGTCTTATACTTTTTCAACGGTTTTTCTCTCCTGCAGGGAAGCTGCGACGCGTCACGCGACCTAAGGGACATCCATGATATATACAATTCGTATATGGCATGGTGAAAAATATCTGGTTATAAAAATATTAACCAGACAGAATCTCAACCAGTCAACAGTAATATATTCCTTTGAACCAACTAATTTGATGTTCACATAAATTGCCCTTTATTTTCTATTGTAAAATCAGTTCTAAAGAATGCTACTTTCATATCAAAGAGGAATTGCAGTTCCGATAGCACAAACAAATCTGATCTACATTGTGGAAATATCATAAATAAATTCTAAATTCTATAATTTTACGGAAAAATCTCTGACCGAAGTTACTTGTGGAAAGGATAATCGGTGTAGCCTTTTGCTCCAACACCGTAAAAGTCGTCTCTATTGTATTGGTTCAACTCCCACCCCTTTTCCAACCTCTCCGGCAAGTCAGGGTTGGCAATGAAGGTCCTACCAAAAGCTATCAAGCTTCTGTCGTTCTGGTTAACGTGACCCTTGATGTGGTTGTAGTCCTCATGGTATGCACCAGCTCTGATAACCACACCAGTCCACTTCTCAAACGCAAAAGCATTGTCGCCAGGAACTACCCCACTCCCAATGTGCATGGACTCACGGCCATATCTTGGCTCAACCAAGTGAATGTAAGCTAACCTCTTACCTTCCTGCGCTCTCTTTTCAAGCTGTTCCAAGAGGTACCCAAACGTCTCCTCTGGGTTGTATGCAGCTCCACCCATTCCCGCAATAAGACCCCATGGAGATAATCTGATACCAGTTCTATCAGCACCAACTTCAGCCACGATGGCATCCACAATTTCCAACACAAATCGGACACGGTTCTCCACGCTACCACCGTACTGGTCAGTTCTCGTGTTGGAGGTGGATTGGATGAACTGATCTGGCAAATAACCATTGGCACCGTGGATCTCCACACCGTCGGCCCCAGCCTTGATGGCGTTGGCGGCGGCTTGTGCGTAATCCTTGACAGTTTGCTTGATCTCATCGACAGTCAAGGCTCTGAGTTCATTACCAACCTTTTTTGCAAGTTGTTTGTCTTCATCCGTGATGTAATTGGCGGAAGAAGAGACGTATGGCAAGCCACGGGCTTTCAACCCATCAGGTTTCGAAGCTCTGCCCAAGTGCCAAAGCTGGACAAAAATAAAGGACTTGTTTTCGTGCACCTTGTTAAACACCCTGTTCCACTGGGTGACTTGCTTCCCGGACCATATACCTGGAGCTAGATCATAGCCACCGGCAGCGGCGGAGATGAAAGTGGCTTCGGTGACCAACAATGTACCGACCTTGGAAGATCTCTGACCATAATACTCAACTGCAAGCTCAGTAGGCGCCTGGTCGGTATCATTCCTGTATCTGGTCAATGGAGGCAAGACAACACGGTGTTGGAGCTGATAGCGACCCACTTGGATCGGCTTGAAGAGGTTGGTGTCAGCTAAAGGTTGGATAGTCATTGTAGAAGAGGTTGATATAATAGCCTATGATTGTTAAACTACATTCTGGTTAAAGAATGGAATTGTACCGAGCATTTATAATAAATGTTGGTTGATTATTAATGGGTAAAACCCGCAATGAAATCATCAATATTGACAAGGTCAATTAGTAATCTGCTGCATAGAACATCTCAAGGAACAGCCACATATGCATATTTGGCTTGGCACAGCCGCACAGCCGCACAGGCCCTTTGAAATTTCTGTTAACGAAGAGGTTGGAAGCAAAATATGTGGCGTCCGAAGTCTGAGGTCAGACAGGACTAACGCTTCGGGGAGTGTATGTAAGATGCAGGCTTAGTAATTCATCCTGTGTTATCCCGCCATGGTACTATATAAAAATGATGACTAGCAACTCAGAGATTCTCAGCATTGATCGATACCGACGAATGTCTGAGTCGCAAAGAGTGGACTGTGCATGTATACTCAAACGCAATAACACGTGGCTGACAAATCTGAATGCAGGTAAGCCTCTTTGGGGTCACTTGGGATATTTATACGCAACAGCGTATTCAGCTATTGTGCTTGGTCTCTCGAGGGAAAATTCAACTCGGAAATTGAATAAACTGAAGGTGCATATCTGGTAGGCTGTAGTGGATACCATTAGCTAAGAGAGAACTTGAATACTCAATACGCAAGATATATGATCAAGAGGAAGGCAAGGAAGGTCTTAAATCCTTGAGGTATCTTAATATTTTCTTGTGGTTTTCAGATCCAGCTTTTTGGTCCTAAACCGGGGAATGAAGCTAACTATCAAGCGTAGATCATTGAATGTGCCATGAATTGTTCGCAATGAAATCGGCCCTGCGTTTTACAAGGGTCCGCATGCCGCGCACGTGACCCATATACATTCCATAACATACCAACCGCGTCCCATAAAAGGGTCCACCCAATATCTCAGTACACCCCACAATGGCACTAAGTGATATAATCAAACAACCCATTTCCACTACCACCATATAAAGTCATATATAAAGCTGGGGCATTTATATCACCCAATGGCAATGCAACAGCCCAATATTCCCTTTGCTACGTTGCACCTTTACCATGAATTCTAATGCCCTTTCCACTATTTGGGATACACCTCCATTGGAGACTCCAGAGAAAACATTCTCTTATATACCACTTCCACTAGTCGGTGTATTGATAAAATCAGAGACAAATTCCCTCGCTTGTATAGCCCGGAAGTGTTACTACTCGAATATTGAATTGACCTTTTGTGACCCGTTAGATTATGGTTACTTCGCCCGTATGGACAATAATGATTTATACATGAATCTCTCAGATTTTGAAGCGTTGGCAAATATTGAAACATGCTTCGGATTAGAAAGCATTTCATTTCTGGGTGGGAGGACAAGAATTACAGATTCCTCCGTGAAGCAGCGTTCACCAAAGTGTCGCCAATTGTGACTGAAGTCACGCAAGGATGAAGCGGTCTTTGATCGGGCCTGTCTACCATCTTCTCCCCTGACTCGAGAATGCGGCCGAGAAATTAGAGGAGACCTAATTAAGATACCCTCTTTTAGACATGGACACATAAAAATAAGCAACTACATAACCGCCCACCACCTACACCCGTCAAAGTAAAAATACACGTTCAAGATAAAAAAAAAAAATACTCTACGCAGACTTTTTAAGTAACTCGCCGATCTTGGTTTCCAAGGCAGCTAATCTGTCGTCCTTCTCGGCCGCGGTCTCGGTTAACTTGGCAATCTGGGCTTCTAATTTTTCGACAAGGATGGTCAACTTGTCTACGTTACCCTTCAAAGTGGTAGCACCCTTGGTGACAGGGGCAGGCGAGGCGGTAACAGGAGCAGGCGAGGCAGCCGCCAGAGCAAGGATCGGCTCGGGGGTTGCTTCAATCACAGGAGATACCTTTTCGACAACCTTGGTTTCAGTTGGAGTAGCCTTGACAGGAGATTCCACAGGAGATTCCTTCTTAGATTCCTTCTTAGATTCCACTGGAGCTGGTTTAACCTCCACTGGAGTCTCCTTCTTAATCTCCACCTCTTCCTCACCCCACTCACCCTCAGACTTTTCTTCCTCGCCGTCCAAATCCTGGGCCTTCTGTAACAAATCGTCGACCGCAGGCTTGTTCAACAAGTCGTCCACACTCTTCCCCTTGGAGAACGGAGTAGGCTCCTTGGATTGCACCGGGGAAACGGAAATCTCCTTCGCAACCTTTTTGGTCTCCACTGGTGGAGTGACCTTGACAGGCAAGCTAGACGTAGAGGGACGGAATTCCGGCTCGGAACCATCGTACAAAGATTGCATCGACAAGAGAATTGGTCCGTTAACGGTCTTACCCGCAAAGAACTCCTCCGCGGTAAGCGCAGCCTGCTTCGACGGACAGTCCGGGTAGATATCGCTCTGGAATATCTCGGCCCTTCTTGGCACCACGAACGAGATTGGTTCGATGTGAGAGTCTTGGACAGTCTTGTAGGCGCGTACAATCTCGTTTTCGCGCACATTAACCGTATATTTTGGTGCCACAGCGAAGCCCCTCTGCGCATCCGTGGACTGGTAGGCAGACAACTCAAACAAGTCGTCTTCAGCGAACTCGTAGTAGCGGATATTCCCGTCTCCCTTACCAGCCAAGAATAAAATCTTGGTCGCAGGGTCATAGACCGGCATGATCACCCCGGAGGAGGAATCGATGTTGATATAGCCTCCGATCGGCTTGCTCAAGTCGGCGGTGTCGTAGATCCCGACCTGGCGGTCGGACATTCTGGAGAACCCGGTGGTGACGACCCTGTCCTCCGCCAACCAGCAGATCCTCGACGGCTTGGCACCGCTGTGACCCGGGCCCTCAGCGATCACCTTCTGGGTCGCAAGGTCCCAGATTCTGATCGTCTTGTCTCTGCTCGTAGTCGCTAACAAGGTTCCGTTGGGGTTGAACTCGAAGCACGTGACGAGGTCCTTGTGCTGCAATGTGATTTCGTCTTTGCCCGATTCAAGGTTCCAGATCTTGACGGTGTAGTCGAGGGAGGAGGAGGCAAGGACATTTTGCGCCAATGGGTGGAATTTCACATGACCCACCTTTCTGGAGTGGCCGGTCAAGTACTTAACCGGAGCGACGTCAATCGCGTCGCCGTCTTCGTTCATGTACTTGTGGAAAGAGTAGTCCGCTGGGATCTCCCAGATGGCAATGCGGCCGTCATCGGATGAAGACACAATCATCTGTTCGTCGAACGGGTTGAAATCAACATCCAAAATGGTTGCTGTATGGCCGCGGAACAAGGAAGTCTTGTCTGGTGCCTTTCCTGTTTCCTGGACCGGAATCACCGCGAAGGCACCGCCACCGGAGCTCTCCCAGTTGACCGCAATGTACTTGGAGTTTGCCTTGATCAAGTTCGAGTCCCACGCGTTTTTCGTAATCTTCAAATTCTCGTAGCAAAGCTCCTTCTTGGAGGACTGCCCGAACACGTGGCGGAACTTGGACGCTCTGACAAATCTTCCACTAAAAAAGCGTTAGTAAACACTGACTTATGGTACTCCCGTGGAGCCTAGCCTGGATGCCAGAAAACTGAATGAAACGGCTGGGGCATTACTTCGCTTTTGGGGCCTAATTGGTTGTAACAGTTGAAAAGGGATGACACCAGACACACCAGGGTTGATAGTTGGATGGATGAGTATCGCCCAGATCCATCGATATGTCCTGGCTGGTGGACCATTGATCGACAAATTTTCGATTGCCATCTCAGGGAAATCGTCATACCATAGGACCTGTGCAATACCCTTGTGAATCCCACCTCGCAAGTAACATTTACACAACATTGCCCCTTAGATCAAACTTTCCCCTTGTAGCACTCCTTCAATTGTTGTTCAAAATCGTCTCAAAGTAATACGTACCTCATAATTGTATTGTATTCTTCTTTTTTTTGTAATGCGAGATGGTGTGGTTGTCGCGTATAGTGAAATAGCTGCCAGTTGGAAACATATAAAGTCGGTTGAGTTTCGCGAAGGCTGGGCGAATTCGGCGGTCTTATCGACGAGACGCGGTGTTCAGACGCAGCAAGAATCCAGGACTGCGACCATTTCCGGAACGTGCAGCAACACGTGCATACGACCAAGTCTAGAGGGAGCAGGGATGGGACTTTACCTGCCAATTAAGAGGATGTCGACAGAATTAATCAATGTAGCTGCAGGGTATTGGGGTGTAGACCTTTAAGCCACTGGTGGTCTAGTACAAATGATGCGACGGCCCTGGGAAGGAAGTCCATGACAAGTGCTATCAAATAAAACTATGAGGCAAGCGGCACATAGACTTTCAGTCTTCTGAAATTTACTCGACTTCACCCGGTAGAGATGCATCTGGGAGATACAGGTATACGATTGTAACGTCTTTTTCAATCGGATTATATCTGGCCAAGACCACACCTAGCTGCTTAAGAAATGTCCAGAGTTAAGGCTTCTTATCGTGACCTATTTGATTGATGGCTCGACTCACAGCATGAATCAATGTGTAAGTTGTTTCTAAGACAAACCGGAGAAGGTATACACTGATAACGCTGTGGTTCTCCTCCCACCTAACCCCGGTACAGATCCTAGATTGGGAATGTGTAGACCCATTCTATGAGATATCTATCATTGACAAACCATTGCCCTACACCGATCAATCCGCACGGTATGTGATTGCATAACTTAAGCCCTCTAGGTTAAACAGACCCACATTGGAGACACCCCTTTAGAAAAGATCTTTACATGCAACGCTACCCATTATTACATACAAGACATACGCTTATCAAATATTATAGCAAAGACTAGGAAATAAGAGTTTATAACTTCTCCTTGGAGCAGCAGCTTCCCGAAGCGGCGTTGACGGCAATTTGAACGGAATCGTCATAATATACCGACTTGTTGAACGAGTTGACCGACTGCGGAATGTCCAAGGCCGGGTTCTTTTCGAAGAAACCGAATGGAAGAATGTTGATCTGCGGCAACATATCGGTTGGCATAACCGGGAAGTCCTCAGCTCTAGGCACGTGGGTCAATGCCATCGTCGCAAAGAGCACAACATCGTCGTTACGGATGCTGTCCTGGTTCTCGAGGAAGGCGGCGACACCGGTATCCTTCTGCGACTGGTTGGTGAACTCACCGGCCGCGTACAACTCATCGTCCGCGTACTTCACGGCCCACAACTGTTGGGTGGCAAACTTGGCACGCTTAACGTTGTAGGAGTCTGGCGAACCCAAAATCATCTGGCGCGCTGGCATGTCGATCTTGTAACCCACTGGCTTCAAGGTGGTCGGGTTGATCACCAGCTCGTTGATCACTTTGAACGCGCGGTTGGTGAATGGCGATTGCTCGACAAAGCCTGGTTTCTCGACATAGCTTCTCTTGGAGATAAACCCAACGTTGAATGGATTCAAGGCCGTATTCAGCTCCATGGTCACCACATCGTCATAGACTACGGTATTCTTGTGGCCATCTATCGCTGGATCGATTCTGAAGGACAACAAGTGCTGGTGGTGCGCGGCCAACACGCCAGGAGCCACCACGGTACCCCAGTCAACGGTCTTGCCGACTTCGATCGGCATCGTGGACAAAATCCCGGTAGCACGCACCTGGACGGAGATGGCGCCTGCCTGGTCAAACACAATGTTCACCACGTATTCGTAGTTTGCCACGGTAGCCACCGTTTGCACCACAAATTCGCGTCTTCTGGCCTGCACCGAGGTCCCGGTACGGTAGTTCACGTGCTTGTAGAGCAAACCGTAGTCCTGCTCGTGCATGCACACGGAGTGGGCAATGGTGACGGGGTTACCATGCTTGTCGGTACGGACAACGTCCAAGTACTTGACTACCCCCAAGCAGTCGCAGCCAAGGGCAAGAGAATCAGCGTTGGCCCCAAACCCGCAGTCACCCAAGTCAAAAGCCTGCTTTCTATGGTACGGAGCACGTGGGTCACCGTAAGGCACGGTCATTTCCGAGAGTGCCAAGCGGTAGAGCACGGACCGGCCCTTAAAGGACACGTCGTAGATGGCAAAGCCCTCTCTGGCGTTAGGAACTACCATGAACTTCCAGCCCTGCCATTCCACGGCGTTGCCGTTGATCGAGAACGAAGGGCCCTCTGGCTGCTGATAGATTAACGGCTTCAATTCGCGAAGGGTATCCTCGCCATTGATCGACGGGAAGTACTCCACTGGCTTCAACTCTTCCCATGGGAAGGTCTCGCAGGTCTTTTCATCCAAGCCAGCTGGAAGGTAGTCCATGCGCACAAACTTGTTGGTGAACATTTCAAACACAGGGGAAAACTTTAAAGGAAGCGAGTAGTGGTTCGACTCCACATGCTTATTGGAGCCAATCAAGTACATGTAGACCTGGATCAACAAACGGTCCTCCTTGGGGTTATCCGTGCCGTAGATCCACGGCTCACATCTTACGTCGTAGCCTGTTGGAAGTTTCAACTTGGCAATTTCCGCAAGCACAATGGGATCTCTCAACGCATATTCTTCGATCTCCACCATGTCGTCTCCGAGCACTGGGCCCACCACGCCTTGAGGCATCCTCTGCTTCGTGATGACATGTCCATAGGTCAAGTTCACAATGGCCTTGTTGAATTCAGTCTGCTTGGTGTAGTAGTAGACGTAGGCACGGCGCGGAATGATTGGCAACGAACGGCCTTCCTTCTCGGCCTCCAAGTATCTCACCATTTCGGACTTTGGTGGGTCGATTCTGTCTACTTGGACAAAGTGGACGGCGTCGGAAGCCGCGTGGGCGTCCTTAACGAGCTTGGTTGCGGCCTGCAACTCCTGGGTAGTGATCTGGTCGAACGGGTGGGTCATTGCCAATAAATTCTAGACTTGCTTACACTAATAGGCAAGAAGGGAGGAAAGGCGGAAGGACCGTTTATATACAAATCTGCTATCAGCCAGTCTCAGGATGCAGGCTGCTGATAAGGTTTTGTGGGACCCAAGCGGCGCGTGTAATTCCCGAATACGGCAGGTATTTGCGGGAGGAGGGGGCCGTACACCACGAACCCCTCAGTCGGGACGTCCGAGCCGAGAAAGGGCAGGTGTATATCCGTTAGAGACTTACAGGACGGTTGTAACCCGAATCACTAGATACAGTAGAAAAAGGGGCGGGATTGCGCTGAGGTTCGATATTCAGGAGTCAGTACGCTAAATAGGGAGTGACTGCTTACTAAGGCTAGTACAACTCGATAAGATTTGGCCCACGTTCTTGGTTGAACAGGCACTACATCTGATCATCCCTAGATCTCTCCATGGGTGGGATACTAGTATATTGCTATCGCACTGGATTTCGATTCCAGGCCTAGAAGTCTTTAAGCGGGGAAGTTTAATTGCATATAGAACTACATGAGCTTCACGCATACTAGGCCAAACTAGATGAGGCTCTACTGGTTTATCAGCTGTATTAGCGGAGCTCTCAAAAGAAAAAAAGTACCGGCATCCTAACGGAGAAGAGTATGTCGGCGAACTGGATTCATGATGGTGGTATTAGGGGGAGAGAACATACTCTATCGAATCTTTAATTCCGTTGGTTCCTTTTTGACAAATTGGGGCTCTCCGCGCGGCTACCGAGGGATCAGTGACCAGTAATCAATAGGCATAGATTAGGCATGATGGTCTATCAGACTAGCTTACTATAGAAACTCTACTTTAATCAGAAAATAAGCTTTCAAGGGGTTTTGCTAGGTCTGTTTGAGTGTCTTCCTAGCAAAGCTGGAGAAAACGCCGTAGCCTCTTTAAAATATTGACGATCGGCCCGGGGGTGCTAATTATTACCACTCTCGGAAGCTTCTATGCGTTATCACCAAATTATTTTGGTGATCTGCACAGTCCGAATGGGGGATGCATTCGCTAACCCGAAATACAATGACTGGTTGAACATATATTAGCCACGTTAGTCTTAGGCAGAAACTCCGCAAAAGAGATCCTCAAACACAATATTTGGCGCCATCATTTGCTGGTGATGGTAATATATCTGGACCGAGAACTGATAAGATATCTTTAAAAGATGGCCTTGGTCATCTGGTCAGGGTTGGAGCCCTGTGGTATTTGGCAGATTGATACCCCAACTCGACTTATATAAAAACCTTAAGCTGTTATCTTTTCTCGTGCAATACCGGCACTGCCTAATTCTCTCTACACTTACACTAGCAGGCGCATACCCCTGGGCTCTGCCCAATAAGTGCGTAGTTATAGGAGCACTTAGAGTCATCTCTTCATACAGACAAACACAATCGACTAACTTCATGTCGCATATCCAAAGCAGGCGGGTCTTGGAGTACAGATGGGATAATACTTTACCGTTGGAGCGCTTATCGCGATAACATTTCCCCAGACTCTCAATAAACGCTTCAAGAGCGATCATCACGTGACATTATTTGAGAACGACTTGGGAATTTTTCACTAAATTACAATGAGCCATTAAAAGGGAGCATATTCATGTAAGCCAATAACGTTACTGGATTTAGATAAATTGACAGTTCCACCCCCTTTATCGCCTATTAGGGTCAATCGAAGGATAAAGGGTCAATTGGATGAGATGCAATCATCTTTTGTTAACATCCAGCGGTACTGCGCCCACATACTTCCGTTACCCAGCGTAAGGACTCGTCACCCATTTTGCTGGTTTTTGCACGACCCAATTCCCCACCTGCTCTCATACGTCAACAAACCCATCACTTATTCCATCACCTATTTCATCACCTATTTCATCACTTATTTCACCAATTTCATCACCCGTGTTTTCCAATTCACTCACACAGGATGCTTCACGCGATCCGCTCCTTTTTTTCGCTCCAAACGTTGGACACGCGGCTCCAGGCCCCTACGGACGCTAAACACCGTCAGAACATTGTGCAAAAGGCAACACGTTCGCGCTGGGCAACCGCCGAGTTTCGTGTCTACCTTGTTGTTTTTGCGGTTGTTGTTCCGTACATGTACCTCACCGCAATGTCGGCTTCCAACGAGACAAACCCGAACTACCCGCGCTTTGCGCATTTGCTCAAGGATGGTTGGATGTTTGGGCGCAAGGTCGATAACTCTGACCCCCAGTACCGCTTCTTCAGAGACAACTTCCCCATGCTTGGGGGTTTGTTAGTCATGCACATTGGTGTGAGGAGACTCTTCAGTGCTGTGGGCTTTACCAACCGTCTCTACTTTGATTCCACATTTGGGTTGCTCTTTCTCGTGGCGGCACACGGGTGCAACGCGGTGCGCGTGCTCCTACACTTTGCTGTCTTCTACCTAATCGGACGCACTCCGAACAAGAAGGCTTCCACGGTTCTTTTGTGGGTCTGGGGGGTTGCGACGCTCTTCATCAACGACAACTTCCGCGCTTATCCGTTTGGAAACATCGTTCCGGCGTTGGCCTTCCTCGACACCGGCTTCAAGGGCATCATCGAGCGCTGGGACGTGTTCTACAACTTCACCCTCCTTCGCTTGTTGAGCTTCAACTTCGATTACCTCGAGCGCAAGCACTACTTCTCCAACCCAAAGTCCAACGGTGAATCTTCGATTGGCCTCAGTCTCAAGGCTGCAGACAAGAAGAAGAACGACGACCTCACCAGAGCGCCGCTAGACGACAGGCAGAGGCTTGTGGCGCCGCTCTACCTTCAGGATTACGGCATCGTCAACTACCTTGCTTACCTTCTCTACACGCCGCTCTACATCGCAGGACCAATCATCACCTTCAACGATTACGTCTATCAGTCGCGCAACATGCTTCCAACAATCAACGCCAAGCGGATCGCGGTCTATGCGGCGCGTTTTGCCTTCTGTCTCTTGGTGATGGAATTCCTCCTCCATTACATGTACGTAGTGGCCGTCTCCAAGACCAAGGCCTGGGATGGTGACACGCCGTTCCAAATCTCTATGCTTGGGCTCTTCAACTTGAACATCATTTGGCTCAAGCTCTTGATCCCGTGGCGTCTCTTCCGCCTCTGGGCCATGGCCGATGGCATCGATCCCCCGGAAAACATGATCCGCTGCATGGATAACAACTACAGCGCGCTAGCCTTCTGGCGTGCTTGGCACCGCTCCTTTAACCGCTGGGTCATCCGCTACATCTACGTGCCGCTTGGTGGGTCCGGTAACCGTATTTTGACCTCTCTAACCGTGTTCTCCTTCGTTGCTATCTGGCACGACATCGAGTTGAAGATGTTGCTCTGGGGCTGGCTTGTGGTGTTGTTCATCCTCCCGGAGTTGTTTGCCACGATCTACTTCAAGCCGTATGCTAACAGGTGGTGGTTCAGACATGTGTGTGCGGTTGGCGCCGTCATCAACATCTGGATGATGATGATGGCGAACTTGTTTGGCTTCTGTCTTGGCAAGGACGGCATGGTGAAGTTGTTACAGGAAATGTTCCAGACGTTCGACGGGCTTGTGTTCTTTGCTGTAAGCTCTGCGTGTCTCTTTGTTGGCGCTCAGGTGATGTTTGAGTTGAGAGAATCAGAAAAGAGAAAGGGGATTGATGTTAGGTGTTAGGTGAGAGGGGCGAGGCCACTCAAATTTTTTTGGTCACAATTGACATCAGTGTAGTTGAGATGAATATAGAGTGCTATTTGTTTACGTAAGTGAGGCCTGGCGGACTGTTTATGCCTTGTTTTTATCCACTAACGCAGAAGCTAGCATAGCGGTCTAAGACCCTGGACATTTCAGTTAAGGCGCTGATAAATCGGTGGGTGAAAGTTGTAGCTTGGATACATACCGGCACTTGGTGCCGATTATTTAATTTATTGGGTTCGACAATTATCCGGCTGGTAATAAGGAATTTAAAGCTGAAAAATGAAGGAAACGCCAGATACCCACCACGTTTCGGCACATACAAATGCTAGCCAACAAATGTGCAGAGTGGCGCCCACCCTGTTCCCGCTATCACGCCCCTGTCGTATCCAGAATAACCACCAAAAACTCATTGCATCCCCATAAACTTGAATATAGTGAATATACCTTTCACCCGAATATTTTTCTTCGGTGCCTTTTGCCCTGGAACCACATCCGGTATTCCACTTATTACCGCATTCGGCAGCTCATCGCGCTGCAGCAAAAGAAAAAATATTTCTCTATGCACAAATTTTTCATGCCCTACAACCTTAAGCCGATAAACAAGCTCTTTTCTCTCATACACACGTACCATGGTTAAAGACACCAAGAGATCGGTCCTGAAGAGATCCCGTGATGCGGATTCGCCTAAGATTTCCAAAAAAGTCAAGCAGGCGCCAGAGTCCTCTGACGAGGATGTGGAGCTCCAGAATGCCGAGTTGGTGAACGAATTGGACGACGAGTTCGAGGAGATTGCCGAGTTGCTCGACGGTGACGTGAAAGACCCAGAAACCAAGCGTAGCAAGAAGCAACAGGTTCGGGAAATCACCGCGGAGGACGAGTTGGCAACCAACCAGATCGCCACCAAGCCGACCGAAGACACGTCCATCACAACCTCCGAGCTCTTCACAGACTTGGAGTTGTCTGAAAACACCTTAAAGGCGGTCCAGGAGATGGGGTTCTCCAAGATGACCGAGGTCCAGGCTAAGACCATCCCGCCGCTTATGGCTGGTAAGGATGTGTTGGGTGCTGCCAAGACCGGCTCTGGTAAGACGTTGGCATTTTTGATCCCCGCGATTGAGATGTTGTACTCCTTGAGATTTAAGCCAAGAAACGGGACTGGTGTGGTGGTCATCACCCCGACCAGAGAGTTGGCGTTGCAGATTTTCGGTGTGGCCAGGGAGTTGATGGCGCACCACTCGCAGACCTTTGGGATTGTCATCGGCGGTGCCAACAGAAGAGCCGAGGCTGAGAAGTTGGCCAAGGGGGTCAACTTGTTGATTGCAACCCCAGGGAGATTCTTGGATCATTTGCAGAACACCCCAGGCTTTGTCTACAAGAACATGAAGGCGCTCATCATCGACGAGGCCGACAGAATCTTAGAGATTGGGTTCGAAGACGAAATGAAGCAGATCATCCGCATTTTACCGAAGGAAAACAGACAGACCATGTTGTTCTCGGCCACTCAGACCACCAAGGTTGAGGATTTGGCCAGAATCTCCTTGAGACCGGGTCCGTTATACATCAACGTCCACAGCGCGCAGGACACCTCTACCGCCGACGGCTTAGAACAGGGCTACGTGGTTTGTGAGTCTGACAAGCGTTTTTTGTTGTTGTTCTCCTTTTTGAAGCGCAATGTGAAGAAAAAGATCATTGTGTTTCTCTCATCCTGTAACTGTGTCAAGTATTTCGGTGAGTTGTTAAACTACATCGATCTCCCGGTGCTAGACTTGCACGGCAAGCAAAAGCAGACCAAGAGAACCAACACGTTCTTCGAGTTCTGTAACGCCAAGTCGGGGATCTTGGTGTGCACTGACGTCGCCGCCAGAGGCTTGGACATTCCTGCGGTTGACTGGATCGTTCAGTTCGATCCACCTGATGATCCAAGAGATTACATCCACAGAGTCGGGAGAACCGCCAGAGGCAGTGCCGGGAAGGGAAAGTCGTTGATGTTCTTGACCCCATCCGAGTTGGGTTTCTTGAGGTACTTGAAGGCTGCCAAGGTGCCTTTGAACGAGTTCGAGTTCCCAACTTCCAAGATTGCCAACGTGCTGTCCCAGTTGGAAAAGTTGATAGCCTCGAACTATCACTTGCACTCCTCCGCCAAGGACGGCTATAGATCGTACTTGCAGGCATACTCTTCGCACCACTTGAAGACGGTGTACGCAATTGACAAGTTGGATTTGGTCAAGGTGGCCAAGTCCTTCGGGTTCAAGGTGCCACCTAAGGTGAACATTACCATTGGTGCCAGTGGCAAGACCGCTGAAAAGCAGCAGCAGAAGAGAAAGAACACCAGAAAGCAGCAGTAGGCTGCAATGTACATTATAATATAGCGCGTGCGACTCTTGAGGTCAGGTTAAATGAGTAGAACTGTTTGCGACGCATGGGGTCAGGACAATGCTAACTTGTGTGACAACAGCCCGGGCTGAGACGGCAAAATACCATGCTCAATGCAAGAGCCGTAGACTGGAATCTAACTGAGCTATAGTAGTGAATTCAAGCTCTTTTAAGGAATATCATGGATACGCTTACAGATATAGAGTAACATCTGATGAGTTGTTACATGACCACGGAGGGCTCTTTCTTTAACCTTAACCGCGGTTTGGCCGCTCAAAAATCTAGTGAGCTCTGGCTCCCTCGTTTAGAACTAACTCCAGCTCCAACAGACACTCGCCGGTGTAACATATACCGGCGAGTGTCTGTTTGGCCCGTTTCCCCGCATACGTGTGTGATAGGGAGTAGAGATGGCCGCGAGTGTCAACAATCTATCAATATCTCTACACCAAGGTCAAACTTGAAACGCCAACATACATTAGTTCCTATCTATACATACATAGGTAACACACCGATCTACTCAGCTGAATTAGAGCCTGTACCGGTACAACGGACTTTTATCGCCCATGTCGAAGATTTCTTCTCTGGTATAGCCGTCCCATTTACCGTCTTGGAGCTCCTTCTCACGCTTGGCATTAATCTTGCGGTAAGCCGTCACCAAAACCGTTAGACCACAGAGCCCCAACGAGATGAAACCTAGCTCCATACTGTGGCCCAAAATAAACCGTGGTTTGTCTTGCGCTCTATAGATGTTGGAGGCAAAAGCACCGCCGAAGTTACCGATGCCGATATGAAAGGCCATCCCCACAGCTCTTTTGTAGGAACCTGCCAAGTTATTTGCGTTCCAAGAAATGACACCCGGGAAAGCAGGATACACCCCAAGCGCGATCAAATAACTGCCACCATAAATAACACCAGGCTTAACCTTAGGGTCTGTGCCCACACACATACTGTAGCCCACTACCAAGAACAAAAGATTCACCAAGATGAATGGTGAACGGAGCCCTACCCGATCGGAAAACCATGCCTGAGTCACACTGGCGATGGATGCGGCAATGTAGATTGGCACTGTCATCAACTGGGCCTTGGCAGAGGTATAGCCCAAATTCAAGATAATCGTTGGCAAGAAAAGCGAGATACCGTACAAAGGAACGACGACTGAGTAATAAACTATCAAATGAAGCCAGCACTGCCAATCACTCAAGACCTGCTTGAGAGATTGCCACGGCGTTAGTTTCTTTTCCACTAATGGAACGCGGGAGCCCGCGTCCGAATACTGAATCATGCGAGACTCAATAGCCTCTCCGCCTGGAGCCTTGTTGCTATCGTTGGCCAAACGCCAAAGCACAAACTCACGTTCCTCCGGGGTCAAGAAAGAAGCGGTTTCGGGGAAATCCTGCAAGCCCCAGAAACTTCCAAAAGCAACCAAGACAGTCAATATGCCTTCCAAGATGAAAATCCACCTCCACCCCTCAAGACCGGCAACGCCATCCATCTTGGAAATCCCAAACGCTAAAAGCCCTGAGAAAGCCCCGGCAACGGAGGCAGCACTGAAGAACATGGCCTGTCTGAATTGAATTTCACCCTTGCAGTACCACATGGTTAAAATATACGCCACTCCCGGAAACAACCCGGCTTCGGCCACCCCTAAGAATAGCCTACAGGCGAACAAGCCGGCAAAGTTGTGAACAATCCCCATGAGTGTCATCACGACGCCCCAGGCAATCATGATGGTCGGAATCCAGATACTAGGCCTCAACAACTTCAAGCACATGTTTGAAGGTACTTCGAAAAGCGAGTATGTAATGAAAAAAATGGTGAGGCACAAGTTGTACTGGTTGTTGGACAAGCCCAAATCTTCAACCAAACCTTCAATCTTTGCATTTCCAATGTTCCCTCTGTCCAAGAAGGAAAGCAAGTATAAAACCGCGAGCATCGGCAACAAGTGCATATCCATCTTGCGGAGGACCTTCTTCTCGTCGATGTTGGGGAAGCGTTCTTGCGCCGTCATGCCGTCATACGACGTTACAGCTTCAAGAGGGTTCTTGGGTTCATTGGAGTAAGCATCCGGGTCTGGTGACGAGGAAACCTCGTATGACGGCTGGATTTTATCGGCCGACATTGCACTGAATTGATTAGGTAGTGTTTATTTAAGATGCAACTGGATATTTCTGTATGGATGTTGCAAAGCCACAGAAATCTATATGGGATCAGAGGTTTATATACTTTGGGTCATTCCTAGATCAAGGCGCCTTGGTTGTGGGAACGACCCGGGGTATCATTCACTATCCGTGTTCCCCTCCTTATACAAGGTACTTTAGCAACGCGCCATACCTTATCGTGAATTCGAATTCGGGATCTTTGGGTGTCGCTTGATGACTCCCCTTGGAGCAAGCCGGGTCCATAGCTTCCCCCACAAACCTGAAGCTCGAGCGCAGAGCTTTATCGTCCTGGATTAGGGTATCTCCGTACAGCTGTGACCTCCTTGGCTATTACATGCGGTGGCGCCTGCATCCTGCTTATCTGTTACGGCGTTTAGGCTGCCTTCTCAGGCGGCCTAAAGAGTCTTTCGCTGCAAAACGCAGTCCCTTTACGGATACGGATAGCCGCTGTGCGGGGTGCGTCACATTGTCGATCTGTCTCACCTATAAACTGTAGGAGAATTGCTGCCCCGCAGTAACCTGCAGCAAGTGAGGGTATAAGAACACCTAGTTACGTGCGTACTCCGTAAAAGGCTCAAATTACCCCAGGGTCATTTTGCTTGGCACGGGAGGTTCAGGCAGTTCTCCGAAAACCCTAATATTTGGGCCGTCTTTTTGAGGCTGGAATCTGACAGGAAGCGAACGTCAGACTTGGAGTCATATATCAATAACGCGTCTGTATTTCCTCAAAGCTGATCGTTTAAATTACGTGTGCTGTTACAAGTGATACCGTGAACCGTGTGGTTCACCATTTGCCAAAAGGCTGGCCTCAGGGGGGCTCTTGTAATGCGGTGCACCCTTGAATACCTTAAAGTTACCGCGCCTATAACCGAACGGGAATACCCGGTAGCAAAATGCCACCGAGTAATTATGTGCTTTGCAAAAACAATCGTAGTTGTTACCACTGAGGCGTGTTATATATTTGCTTAATTGATTGTAACGTATGACAAGTGCTTGTTCCTCCCTCACCTTCGATGATAGGGCCGATCTTTGAACTCAAGGCGAATATATAAGTTTAATTAGAATTGGCGTTAGAACCATACGGCCCGAGGCTGAGACGTATAGCACAACCTAAAAACCCTGGACAAACTATGGATTGATCATTCATCAAGTTAGTATCATTTTTGGATATCTAGTTCAATTTCGCTCCGTTGGAAATTAGTAAGCTGCGTGATGCAGATCATGCCATCATCCTCAAGTTCCATGTAACTGTAACTGTAGATTAGAGTTGGTGCGAGTATCGGCCTTTCGGGACAATGTCGGGCCGGGTTTACTCCCCAACAGCATTCCATCGGCAAAAGCATTTCTAATCGGGAAACTTCCCAGTCTTTAGTGATTGTACTCTTAATCTCATTCATCCCGGTCGCTAGTCCTTACAGTATACCGCGCCCTCTTATGTACTGTAGTCGTAGAGATTTCTTTTTATCTCATGCGCCTTCTGGTACTTCCACCCACTTTGAACTATTATAATATTAATTTAATTGATGCTAATGCCTGCTATTGCTTATGCACTTTCTTATACTCTCCCGGCGTCTGGAGTGCCCCATTGACCCCCCATAGTCCCCGGCGTCTCTTCTTCGCCATTGCCTCCAACCGCTTGTACCGCTCCTCTTGCCCGTCAAACTCTGCCGATGTCTTACCCTCATACACCACACCGATACCGTTTTTAATCATCTCCGCGCTGACGTCCTTCCAGCCGGTGTATCGCAACACCCAGCACTTTGCAACCACACGCTGGTACTGATCTATGGACAACGGTTTGATTCGCACACGTCTTCCCATGAGGTAGCTGCGCAACCAGATCAACGCTTCCTCTGAGAACGGCTGGGCCGGGTTTCCCCAGTGTGCCCTCTCGGGAGCATCCACGCCACATAGCCGGACGCTAAGGGTCTCTTTGCCGTAGCCTCGCTTGTTAATGGGCGGCGTGGCGCGCAACCAGCCCCAGCCTGTGAGGAACCCGCCAGGGGTGTGATAAAACCGGAAGTTGTCACCGTCCCCTACGGAAGTAACCTTTCCAAAAAGCGTCTTTTTATGGAGATATTGCGGTGGGATTTGGATCGCCTGCGGAATCCGTCTGAGTTTGGACACGACCCTTGCGCCGAGGAAAAGCGAGGCCGCGATCCCGGTGCTAAGGACTATTACCGAGGGGCTAAATATGCTAGGTGACTCTGATTTAGCCATGAATGAGTGATAGCAATGGTGTGTTAGCGGTGGTGAAGAATAAAGACGGTTGTGGGTTGATTTATTTGTCTGTTCTCCAGCTTTCGTCGTGTATTTTTCAGTGTCTGCAGGTCGCGTACAAGAAGTCTGGCGTGCATGGAACGCGATTTCAAAGCAGCTATACTTTGTAATGCAGTTAGAGGTAAAAATACACGCCACACATTTCAAGATTGGATATAGCCTTTTTGCCTCTAGAAAACCAGTAAGGGGAAACCCAGTCAAATTATTAATGATTTACAGTGAAGTATCGTTAAGTTGCAATATTTGGTGTTATCTGATATTGATTGAAGATATGGCCGTTAACACTTTTGCATCTTTTTGCTAACATTATACATGAAGTACTACCAAAAAAACGGTTGGAGTTTTCTCTCGGCTATATATAAGCCGGTACTTGGAAAAATCTCTGTTTAACCGGTGACTAGTCGCAAACGTCCGTCTGTAATGAAACAAGGATGGAAGTTGACGTGTAGGCACTGGTAATTCCGCTGATATCTGACTAAGCACCCATGGGGGGTTTATAGAGGAGTATACCACAAGTATATAAATCTTTGTGCATTTCCCTGGGGTCATCAAAATTTTGAAGTAAAAGGATTTGTACGGCCTGCTCTGGTAACACCACACAAACATAGTCTTGAGCGAATCCATCAGCCTTCTGGATAATATCTAGCAATTTCATACAACCTTATGCGTATCTTTGCGTTAGCAACACATTGGAAACATAACCAGTTCAAGTCTAACAGCCTTTGCGACCCACCATATACTCCTTAAGCATGCGCATGTCAAGCTTGAGGTCAAACACGTTATTCTTGATTTCTGTAACATCTGATGCATTACCACCGCTAATTACCACTCCCACAGCTTGCTTGAACCCTTGAAGCTCCTTCCTAATCTCGTGAAGCTCTCCTCTGACATCCCCCCTAATCTTCTCATAATCCTGTTGGGCCCGGTTTAGCTCATTCACAAGCCGGGCATTCGCGTCATTTGTCTCCTTCACCGCCTGTATCAAGCTAAAGGGTACATCTACTGAGCGATCGTGAACTTTGCTTTGCCTTTTAGCGCTGTCCGGAACCATCTGTATTCTTTGTCTCCTCTTTTGGTGGGTCTTGGTGGCAAAGGCATCATTAGAGCTAATATTAGGCATAGCAAAAGACACGCCCAACCGTTGTCGAAGGCCCTGAGGCGTTGCATGTACTTGGGGTCTTTCGCGAGAGACATTCAGCATATCCAGAGAATCAAATAAGGTGAGCGAACTCTCACTGACCATAGAAATATCCTCAATGTGTTCCTGAATCTCGACAGGCTCAATTCTGGGGTATGATGACTGGATAGGCGAGCTCAGTGGGGAAATGCACTTGACCAAGGCACATTCGCGCAAAGCCGAGAAGCTGATATGAATCTTGCTTTGGTCGGGAAGCACAAAGTACTTCCGGCTGGAATCACTGCGAGAAACACGTGGTTTGATATTGTGGCGGTCTAAAATACCTTTCACGAATTTGATGCCATCGGCAAGCACTGGAAAGGTGCGGCCGTTCATCTTGTCGAGTACGGGTATGTAATCGGTAGGGGGATCTGGGATCATTGGGATTTTAAGTACGATATAGTGGTGGTAAAATCAAACTGGGCGGTCTGCAAAAGACAAATATCGAAAAGTATTGAGTAGGAAATTTGCAGGTTTGAATAGAAGCAAAACGATGTCAATACAAGGGTTCTGTTTTGCTCCATGCATGAGCCGCTCTGGTGTACCAAAGTAAGCGGCAGGACATTCTCAATATGGCTTGACAAGGCGGTTATTCCCCTGGGAACAAAGTCTGGGGCTGGCACAGGGAGCTCCAGCCAAATAAACGGAAGCTGCTCGTTTCTGTGCACTAATCCCAAGGTATTATCCGTGGCATGAAGTCGGGTGCTTTGCTTTAGGGAATCAAAACTCACCAAATCCTTATATAGCTTCATGACTGAAGGGTGTACTTTTCAGAGTCGATTGACCCTGTATCAGTGTATTCGTTCGACCCATGAAAAGAAAAATATGTCAACATTATTCTTACAGACTTTTCTGTTTGGAAGCACCTTTGAATTAGCATACCAATTATTGCAGCTTTAAACCGATATGCCGATATTTCTGCACTCTCTATACAACAGCTGCCTCACATTCATACGGCCTAACTGCTTGGAGCCCTTTATCGTTGCGGGCTCATCATAACCCCTGGGTACGCGGCGCGCGTGAATATTTTCACTTGCCGCACTCGCGTCATGCATAGTGACTTTATGAAGGATAACCTTGGAGGTTATGCCTTGTCACGTGCTCTGTCAGCCTCCACAGCTCAGAGAGTTTGCTACCTCATACTAGGCACAAATCTCTGGCTAACGGTGAATAGACGTCTACCGTTACCAATCGTTTTTTTGTGTTCCTTGAGCATAACATGGAACGAAAGAACGAGTTTTACTATCTTGTACTGCTCTCTGAATGTCAACTAACGGTTGGATCCTGCATTAATCTTTTCTCTCTTGCCGACATAACTTTTTCATGTACGTACTGCGGCGGTAACCCTCAAGGTGCTCTTCCAGATGCAAAACGAGACACACCAGAAACGAGGTAAGCACAGTTATTCGCCTTAGAACTGAGTAACCACTCCTGTTTTATCAGTAATACTTCCTCGTAGGTGATAACCTTTCGTGACACTCACACGATAACCTTTCTGCCCTAGCTTCTCCGGCGAGACCTCTGCATACACTTCATCTAGCCCCGAGCCACCCCCTTATACCCAATCGTTCTACTGCAAAATTCTGTACCATGCCCTCCACAGTTGCTGCCCTCAACGAATTCGTAAAGAGAGAGGCCTGTGCCACCTCTAATGACTTTTCCGGGGACCACTGGGGTGCGAGAATCTCCGCCATCTTTGCGATTCTCGTTACATCGGCTATCGGAGCCTTTCTCCCGATCCTTTGCTCCAAGTACTCCTTCATCAGATTACCCCCATGGGTCTTTTTCATTACTAAATTCTTCGGTTCAGGCGTTATCATAGCCACAGCTTTCATCCACTTGTTGAGCCCCGCGAATGAAGCATTGAGCACCGAGTGTCTTGGTGACGCCCTCACAGGCTACCCCTGGGCCTTCGCCATCGCCTTGATGACGTTGTTTGTGCTCTTCTTTGCGGAGTTGATGGTGTACCGTTTTGTCGAAAACAAATTGGGCGAGCATTCCCATTCGCATTTTGGCGAGACGGATGTCTACACCAAAGATGCTGAAAAAGACTGTGAGACCAAATCCCACAGCGAAGCCATTCAACATTCTCATGAAACCACACAGCATATTCATGGGACGACACTGCCTTCTCACGAGGCCATTAAGTACCCAAGTCACTTTTCGCATGCCTCACACCACCAAGACCCTGAAGTTGTTGGTACCCCTGCTGCTGATGCTGAAAGAGAGAGCTATTACGGCCACTTGGTTTCCGTGTTTGTTCTTGAATTTGGTATCATCTTCCACTC